AGGTGTTCAGCTGTAGTATGTTAGACACTCTCCTGTATCAGACGTGTTCTAAAGGCTACCTCATCAAGTTTGTACGACTTCTACTGGGCATTGACGCTGAGGAGAACTCGGGCCACCTGTCTAGTGTAAGTTACAAGGGAGGTCACTCAATACCGATAGCATCATAGATTATCTTGTGTAAATTACAAAAGAGGCAAGTTAGCTAAAAGGGAGAAAACGCCTGTTGCATCATATATTATATATCTCATGTAAACTACAAATGAGTCAAATCGTAGAAAATGCCTAGTGTAGATACAAGGGAGGTAATGCAAGACTTATACTAAATCATATCTGTCTAATTGTAAGTTACTACTGAGTGATTGGAACAACATTTATAAATTACATGTACATGTATGTCAAGTTTGTCTGTGTAAGTTACAAGGAAAGCAAATTAAGGCAACTACATGTATCTGGTGAAACTTACTCTTAACAGTGTAAGTAAAGGGGAGGCAACCAGTCCTGTACTAGGGGAAGCTAGTTCTGTAGCATAAGAATGAAGCATGAAGCTGATATTTTAGAATTGGAAACAGTGGAGAAATTGAAAGCCCATCATGTTATAGGTTTCATGCAGCAACTAAATATTTCTTCCAACAAAAGATTTTAAGAAAAAAGCTATGAAAAGAGGAATTATTCTTAACATTGGTGTGGGTGTCATGAAGATTCTCAGGTGTGTATTAAACTGAGTAAATTTTAGAGACTAAGTCTAAAAAGATTTTTGTAATTTCAGATTAAGGTAAAGAGAGACATACTTATAAAGTATAAGACCTATGGGGATCTCTACATTGGCCTTTGTAAGGTCACCGGGGAAGTCCCCATTGCTATTTATAGAACAGAAAGAAGGAGTGCGTTTGTCACACATGATGAGGTGAGAAAGATTCAACTAAAATTTCTTGACTTTTATCCATTTATGTATAAATTTGCTACCCACACAGAAATTATCAATTTCTCAGTACTCATTGTTGAATCTGTTGATCAGTATAATCGTGATTGTTTTGAAATTGTAATTAAAAAGACAATTACTGGAGTATATTTTTTGGTAGGAGGAGCACCACATTACTAAAAAGGAAGAAAAGACGTCTCCCACCAAAGCCAAGAAGTCTTCCTTCAACATTAAGCAGTTCTTTGAGCGGGCTGTCCCTAACGATCTGTCAGATTTTGTTCGTAGTAGGATGACATCCATGTCTATAGACCCTTCGGGGTACAGCTGTAAGTATAACTGTTATTGATCAAGTATACCATCTTGACAATTATTTTCAGGACTTGAAAAGGAAATGGAATATTACCCGCAATGCAAAAATGTTTTTGAGGAATACATTTTTTTTTTTGGTTATTCGTCTTTTTGATAATTTTGAAACTTATGGTCAGATATAGCATTTATTCCATTAGTGAGATACAATTTCTGATATTTTTACCCTTGCTCCGCACTTGAATATTTAAAAGTAAAGCCTGTCCCTCTCTTAAAATGATTTCTATATCTAACAATAAAATTGAAGATAGTTATTTCATTTTATTTAAGGAATAACAGTCTTATTTTTCGATTTCATGATGTGATCAAGCGATTGGCTTGGGTGATAATTTGCATAAACGCCAAAGGCGTTTATACATAAAATTATCATGCAAGCCAATCGATTGGTCATCATCATGAAATCGAAAAATCTGAAGTTATTCCTTATATTTACATGCTATTGATTCTGCCAATCAATGTGATACAAGCTCTGCTTCTTGTCTCTATTTGTCCCTCCCTGCACGTGAATTTTTTTAATGGTGCCTATGGATGAACCAGTACATTGATGAATAAATGAAGTACATTAACTAATTGTAATTTTATCTCGGACAAAGACATTGGAAATGTAAATATTTTATTTTCATGTTTACAGGTGATGATGAACTCAGAAGTAAACCACTTTCCTTTATAATCATTAACCCACACCCACAGTGTAAACTGAAGAAAGGGGACATTGTGTAAGAACATAGCCATACTTAAAGATAAAACTTATTGTAGAAAGAAAAGTCTTACTTTTGTTGTCAACTCTCTCTGAGAGGAGATAAAATACTGAAAATTTTAACAATAAACATTTGTAAATGGTTTATTATTTGAAATTAAAGTCCTAATAATTTTGAAAAAGATACTGTATACAGGGTTATTTTCGCCCCGTGTTATTTTCGCCCTTTCATATTTGGAAACAAGTTTGCCCTGTTTTAATTTCGCCCAGAAAGATTTTTGTTTTAAAATATTATCTTGTTTACTTTGAATTCGTACGTTTTAAATTCGTCCACTTCTGACGAGGGCGAAAGGGGCGAAAATTAAACGGGGGCGAAAATTTCCCTGTATACAGTATGTATACAATGTTTTTCCAAATTTGATACACATTTGCTAAAACAGAAATTTACATTTAGGTATGTCTTACAACCAAGTTCAATGTTTGCTATTCCAAGCCGAGTGCAGCACAAACACAACTGGAGACGACGTAAATCTTGGAGTGAGGGAATCCACAACAGGACAGAGCCGGAACCCCCAGCTAGGTCTCGGACACATTCCATAGATATACCATCTAGAAATGTTACATTTAAATCTCCTGACTCCAATAGCGAGGAGTTATCTCCCATGTTAGATAACAGTGTAGAGGTGAAGTCGGATGCTGAGCCACTAGACTCTGTAGACTTTGCTCTACCTAAAGCCTCCACAGCTAAAGTCCAGAGAGGCACGGCTCCCATATTTAACTTCACATTCCCTGAGTCTCCAGATACAGCAATCGATGACAGTAGTAAGCAATCTCGCAGTGCAACGAATTTGTCCAATAACAATGACAGTAGTAAGAAATCTCGCAGTGCCACGAATTTGTCCAATAATAATGATATGGAACTGAAGGATCTCTCCTCAGAGAAACCTGTGAATACACCAGTAGAGGCCGTTAGGGAACCCCCCAAAATAGTCATTACCAGGACCCCCACAAAAATATTCCAGACGGAGAGGGTCGACGAATGAGGCTGGGTATTATTGACAACGAACTTACATAGGTTTATGTGGAATATTTCATTCTTATTCATTCTTACCTCTTATTTCTTGGGCATTTTCTTTTGTTAAAAGATACATTCGTTTCAAGTCAACAGACCAATTTTGATTTTTCATATTTTAACAGAACATTCCACACTACTGGGCATTTTTTCAAGTCATTGGTATGTTTCGTCCATATTTTATGTGAATTGATATGTTTGAATAGTAGATTTTACAAAAATATATTATGTCACAATTAATAAAAAGACACTTTAAGGCACAGTTTTATGTGCCTTTTTAGAGTGTTATGGTTTTAAAGAGCAAAAAATGGAAGAATGCAGATCAGTTATAGGAATATATTTGTCCTTTTTTGCAGTTTGAGATCATATTGTATCTAATTTTTTTATTGCTTGTTTCTACAATTACACTGCAAGCTTTTTAATACATGTATAATGGTAATTTCACATATTTACATTTTTCATCAGATTTTATCCAGGGTAAATACTGCTGATATGATGTACTGCAGTTTACAAACTGTTCAGTAACCAGTTAATGTGTCATTCAAGCTATGCATACATGAAAAATAATAACACACAATATATGCATGTATCCTTGTATTAGTGTATTATAATTGAAATATAAGTAATTATATCTTTTGAACCAGGTTGTAGGGTAAAACATTTTTATCAGCATGTTAACATCAAGTGTTGGATAAAGATAAACTTTTACACAAATGATATTCATATACATGTGCACTGTTTTAAGTGTAATGTACCCTCTAATAGTACATGTATCATTAGCAGAGACAGTGGAAAATTTGAGGATAAATACATTCAATACATGTACAGTATCGTTTGGATCCACTATTTTCAGCAGATATTTTGGGATGAAATTTCTTGTAACATTTAATTGTGATACCGTATAGGGGGTTATTTTAGCGGGGTGTTAATTTTGGCGTTTTCATGATAGTCCGCTAAAATTTGAATCGCTACAATATTCAGTACTCTTCTTGGTGTTCATCTGCAAAGAGATGAAATCTTGTGTCTGCTAAAATAAATTGCTTCAAAATTATTGGCATAACTTTGAGCAGGCAAAACACCAAATTTTACACCCACCAAGAAAACCCCATGTAAGGTTCCATAAAAAATTACAGTTAAATGTTTGGTTGATGAATTTGATAATGTTTTATAGATTGACATTATTTTTGGCATATAATGACTTTTCCAATATAAGCTTGATGCCACTATCTTATCTTATGAATTTTATTTTTTTTATATAAAAAGACAAACAAACAAGGAGTTTACCCAATGAAGCCTGGATTTATAAGTTAACCAGATCAATGTTGTGGATTAGTTTAGTTTTAGAGGACATAATTTTTAGTTCCAGCACAGTTGGTTATGGCATACCTGCATAATAAGCAAAATCTATCATAAAATGTAGTTAAGTTTTTTTGTAGCCTCTAGATGTCTAAAGATAACGGGAACAGTAAACAGAATTGTACATGTATGTAAAATTAATGTCAGTGCAAGTTAAGTATTTTTTAAGAATCTCAGTTTTCCAAATATTTTCATATTTAATATATTTACAGTATGTGTAAACAGTACAACTTAAAAGAAGAATACTTTTAAAAAGTACATGCCTTGTGTAATAATTTCAAGCATATATATTAAAGTGCCTATGCTTTTACAGTCTGAGATTTATTTGAAAACTTTGTCATAATTGCATCAAGATTGTTATATTTTATACATTTTTTACAGTGTTATAAGGATGTGACCAGTTACTTTTCTACAATAAAATGTTTTTAAAACAATTCACCTTCTGTTTATTATAGCTTTATTTTTCTCATCAAGGGGACTTTTATATGCGTGCCTTTCACAGTGTATGTATGTACAGTACTTTCAACATTAGAACACAATAATTTTGGATTTGTGCATCAGCAATGCTGCACACCAACAGAAATTGTTTTATTTTACTGACACAAGAGTGCTTGGAAATGACGTAAGGTCAAAGGAAAGGTCAAGGTCAGAAAATACTGATGCAGTTGAATAGCTCTTGTCAATATCTATCAGCATAAGAAGTTTGATAAAAATATCTTGAATTACTCTTTTGAAACTGAGCTTTGAACTGAGCTAAAAGCAAAGTGGGAAGAAAGACAGAAGAATGGAAAGACAGACATGACAAAATCTAAATGCCCCGGCCATTTTCATGGTGGGGCATAAAAATGTTGAATAATTTTAAAATCGTATGTAATGGGAAAGGGTTTTGGGGGCTTTCTCTAACTTACAATGGGAAATTTTTTTTCACTTTCAAATGACAGACTTTGTGTATGTTTGACCATACAGCAACACACATGGGAGGGGGGGGGGGAGGGTTAGAAGCACTACCATGTTTACAATTCAAAATTATGGCAAAAGACTAGTCTTGAAGAGACCCATGTCAACTGACATTTCGCATTTTTTAAACAGATGCAATACTAGTAACAGAATTGGATTTATAGTTTAATAATGATGTAGATACAAAACTTCTGAACTAAATACATATTAATGTAAATACACATCACCAGTCATTCTGATTTGCATAAATTTCATTTTCACAAAGAAACTCGGATATATAACATACAAAAATATAATTAACGTTTTACATTTAGAATGGAATAAATAAAAAAAAACATAACTTCAATGTAAATAATGCAACACCTTAGAGATAATTCTGGCCTGGTTTGGTTTATTAACGTCATATGGGATATGGCAGTTGAATTAGAACAGCAAACATAATACATTGTTATACATGAGAATCAATGTTTATTATGACTTCTAGAATGATAACCCAGGGGAAAAAATGCTTCTTATCTTGGTGAATTCTAATTGCAGCTGTGTTTCATTCACTTTTAATATAATGAATAATAAAATAACTGGTAAACATCAACAACCTCCTCCTTCATGGCAGCACTTGTTTTGAGAAGGTCCCTATCTATGGCAGCACTTATTTTGAGAAGGTCCCCTTCTGTCACTTAAAGACACTGTGCTTGAGTTTTGGGCATCACGCTGCGCTTTGGACAAGGGAAGACAGTACTGAAAAATGTACTCAAATACTTCCGAAACATTGTGTCCTGTTTTACTGGATGTTTCAAAATATGGATCACTGGGAAGTTTGCTAAGATCGATTTTTTCGTTGATTTCTCGGGCGAATTTCTTTCCCTCCTGTACGGTCACTTCTCGTTGACCTTCCTCTAACGCGTCCAGCTTCATTCCAACTACAACCTTGATACAGTCCTCATTAGCAGCATCCAGTAGAGGGATGAATCGGGCCCTACAAAGTTTGTTATAATTTCTGTACTATGTTGGTATATCAACAACTTCAAATATAAGAATAATTTAAAGTATAATAAACTACATTTTGAATATTTTTAACAAGTAGTATTTATTATCTCCTTATTTGAATTTTTTAAGTTGACAGAAGCAGTTGTGCCACTTCAAAGTAAAATAAAATTGTGATCAATATTTTTTTTACAGTGTATTATATCTTTATCGTATTACATTAAACAGGACTTACCAAAGAGATTCAAATGTGCTGACAATGGACATGTCAAAAGCCAGGATGGCAGCCCCTGCATTCCTACAGTAGAATGTGGAGAGACCGGTGTAACGCTCATCTCCTGCTGTATCCTACAGACAGACAAACATCAACAATCATCACTGTATCCCACAGACAGACAAACATCAACAATCATCACTGTATCCTACAGAGAGACAAACATCAACAATCATCACTGTATCCTACAGACAGACAAACATCAACAATCATCATTGTATCCTACAGACAGACAAACATCAACAATTATCACTGTATCCTACAGACCAACATCAACAATCATCACTGTATCCTACAGACACACAAACATCAACAATCATCATTGTATCCTACAGACACACAAACATCAACAATCATCACTGTATCCTACAGACAGACAAACATCAACAATCATCATTGTATCCTACAGACAGACAAACATCAACAATTATCACTGTATCCTACAGACCAACATCAACAATCATCACTGTCTCCTACAGACACACAAACATCAACAATCATCATTGTATCCTACAGACACACAAACATCAACAATCATCACTGTATCCTACAGACAGACAAACATCAACAATCATCATTGTATCCTACAGACAGACAAACATCAACAATCATCACTGTATCCTACAGACATACATCAACAATCATCATTGTATCCTACAGACATACATCAACAATCATCATTGTATCCTACAGACAGATATCAACAATCATCACTGTAGCCTACAGGCAGACAACAACCATCATTGTATCCTACAGACAGACAAACATCAGCAATCATCACTGTATCCTACAGACAAACAAACATCAGCTATCATCACTGTATCCTACTGACAGACTAACACACAGACAAACATCAACAATCATCATTGTATCCTACAGACAGACAAACAAACACTTACAATCATTACTGTATCCTACAGACAGACATCAACAATCATCACTGTATCCTACAGACAGACATCAACAATCATCACTGCATCCTATAGACAAACATCAACAATCATCACTGTATCCTACAGACACACAAACATCAACAATCATCTTTGTATCCTACAGACAGACAAACATCAACAATCATCATTGTATCCTACAGACAGACAAACATCAACAATCATCACTGTATCCTACAGACAGACAAGCATCAACAATCATCACTTTGTCCTATAGACAAACATCAACAATCATCACTGTATCCTACAGACTGGCAAACATCAACAATCATCACTGTATCCTACAGACAGACAAACATCAACAATCATCACTGTATCCTACAGACAAACATCAACAATCATCACTGTATCCTACAGACAGACAAACATCAACAATCATCACTGTATCCTACAGACAGACATCAACAATCATCACTGTATCCTACAGACAGACAAACATCAACAATCATCACTGTGTCCTATAGACAAACATCAACAATCATCACTGTATCCTACAGACAAACAAACACTTACAATCATCACTGTATCCTACAGACAGACATACATCAACAATCATCACTGTATCCTACAGACAGACAGACATCAGCAATCATCACTGTATCCTACAGACAGACATACATCAACAATCATCACTGTATCCTACAGACAGACAAGCATCAACAATCATCACTGTGTCCTATAGACAAACATCAACAATCATCACTGTATCCTACAGACAGTCAAACATCAACAATCATTGTATCCTACAGACAGACAAAATCAATTTCTTCTCAATTTTTGCTTCTTTATCATTGTTTAAAGTCCTTAAGCAAACAACACAGAAACAAATAAAGAAGTGAAAAAAAAACACCTTTGATTTACATGTAAGTTTAAATAAAGAATTCTTTCATTAAGTGTTGACTGGGAAAGGTACATAGTTAACCTGAGTGGCTTACCCAGATTGCTATATTATAAGGTCCCCATTGCTTCAGAAAGAAAGCTGCTCCAATTGTCTGGAAAAACAGATCAGTCAAATTTTCATCAAGATATTTTTAACTACAAGAATCAAAAAATATATACATTGCATATATTTTCTCTGTATACAATGAATTGTTAAACTGTCTGAAAATTTAGTTTAATTAGTTAATTAAATTGGATATACATGTAATATAATAATGAAACTAATTACATGTACTATTAAATTCACAAAATTCTGTTCCCTTAAATAAGTGCATAATATTTATTAGTAAAATCTGTATGTATATCTAGGGATATATCAATTTTTTGATATTGATTTAATAAAAAAAAAAGCTTACAGCTTCATGCTGCTTAAATTCTCCATCGATGTATCGTCCAATAAAGGATGTTTTCCCGACACTGTAATCCCCCATAATGATTACTTTCAGATCCCTGACAGAGGAATAAAAAAAAATATAAATTTGATAATAAATTATACAGCTATAGAGTTTCTATATTAAAATTATCTTTAGGGAATAGAGCTGTATTTAAGGAATGAAGCTTATTTCAACTTATGTTATACGATATAACATAACTTGGGGCAGTTTACGCTTTATAAACTGCGAAGCGGTTTATAAAAAAGTGTAAACTGCCCGAAGTTATGCTATATCGTATAACATAAGTTGAAATACGCTTCATTCCTTATAATCTTATTTCAATGTAGAAAATGAGACATTTTTTCCATTTTTTCCTTCGAAAAAAGGCTTCAAATATTGTGTATTTTAAAAGTTAACGTAAAGCGGAATAATACGTTTTTGACGTAACTCATTGTGACGTAGGCAAGTTATGTTATTCAAAATGGATAAAACTGTTTAACCAATCAAATGACGTGTTACAACTAAAATTAAATTATTATTGTATAGTATTATATACATATTATAGTCTAAGTCCCAAGACCTATTCAGTAATAGTCAAGTTCCGGATTACAACCAGTCTTGCACATATTCATTGTATACGCGTGCTGTATTTCACATCTGTTCCAATGCCAATATTATTGGAATTTAGCATGTTTACCATTCTTATCCGCAAGCTAAATTACCAAAAATTATAGGGCCTGCCTTATTGAAGACATATGGGTAACTGAAGACCTAGAGAAGATCTACAGAAGTCAAGATCTACAAAAATGTGGGTTAAATGCAGCTAAATTGATGTGATTTTCTGATTCATCAATAGTTCCCCTTACCGAGCTTAAAAATTACACTTTAAAACTTCTTTTTAAAAAACTTTTATATGTATTTTAAATATTTAAGACATGATTTATTAGAATATCCCATCATTTTTGCTGTATATATCCCAGAGTTTTGTATGTCTTCCTTAGGTCTTCTCTGGGTCTTCAATTACCTGTAGGTCTTCAATTAGGTATTCCTATGTGACATCAGTGCTGCTGAAATGTGACGCATAGGATGCTATTAAAATCTATACAAAAAATGTGATGAAAAAAAAATGTATATAACCGAAATGGATTGAAGCAGGACCGTTTTGCAAAACAGTTTCATACCATAGCTTTAATTTTCAGATAAGATAGCAACTGCAGCTGTTGCACGGGTTCCACGCCCCTTCATCTACCTCAATTATACCGCTACCAAATCAATACTCACGCCTTTTTCTTTGGTCCCCCAGCCATTTCTTTCATGTATATTCTTTACACTCTCAAAAAATATAGTATTATTATCTCCATATTCCTATCGGTGGGCATTTTATCTCTATTTTTGTGAATGACTGTGAGTCACTCCCACCTGAAACTCAAAACGGATATGATAGGCGCCGTCTAAGTCCCAAGACCTATTCAGTAATAGTCAAGTTCCGGATTACAACCAGTCTTGCACATATTCATTGTATACGCGTGCTGTATTTCACATCTGTTCTATTGTTTATCATTTGTGTATGATGTTTTTCCCGTTTCACAATTTTAGAAAAATATCATATGGGATCAACGACTAGTCGATTATTTATAGCATTATTAACATTATACCATACATAGTATACAGCATTTTTATTTGGAAAGCATTTTCATACGGAAATTGCTCAACTCATCACAAACTTTCACTGTATACAATTGGGTATACCACCTCCTTGTCAAGTGATTAACAAAAATAATGCTAATGCAACAATAACATGAAGATAAAAAGGGACTTATATTCTTGTTAGGCCCTATATATATAACAGTGCGTCACATTTTAACTTGATTAACTCTGGACACGACATTGTCCGGACTTTTTTTTATTAGGGCCTACCATTTCTAATATTGTGTGATGTCCCAAAAAGTTTACATGTAAAGCATTTGATTTCTTAACAGTATCACATAGTGTCATTTTGAACTCACAAGCATCGATATAAGAAACTTTCTAAAAGTCAGAATCTCATAGGAGAAAATATTTCATCCCACTTAGGGCCATTGGCCAGTAACTTGGACTGGTAACACAAATATCTGTCACTTCAGAATGTACAGAAACCACTATACGTACTATTGACCCGGTTTATCACCCACGTTTTTTGATCTATAGATGTAAACATTTTACTAAAAGTCTGCACCATACTTTGTCTAAAGGTAAAACACGTGTTTGTTTTTATTTTTTAATCGGGTATTCTGTTGAATTGTTAAAGAAGAAAGTATAAATTATGCTCATTTTCAAGGAAGTATAACATGAATTTATAAGTGATCTGTATATAATGTTTAGAGAGCCATCTAAGATAGTGTTCTATTTCAATCAAGCTTGTACCAGTTTTAAGCCAATGACAAAAACTTTTGTTTCAAAGTTTATTAGGCCTTTAGAAGTCAAATTCACCGTGATCGTATAGCTTGTTGTTAATTGACAACAGAGTTTTAATCAGTATAGACCAATACACGTTTTGTTGAATTGTTTAAGATTGTTTAAGATTTGTACAAAATATTTTAAAAGAGCGTAGAACTAAAAATCTGAAAAAAAACAAGAGTCCAAAAGATAAGTCCAAAGACAAGAAATAAGAACCCATCAAAAGGGTTACATTACCGTTTTCCGGCAAAGAGAGTATTTTGTGCTCAGAGGGTATTCATGGTGTCCTGAATGTAAAAGTACATTTCATTGGCTATCTTACCGTTACCATGCCACCTACGCTTTGTCCCTAGGTCTGTCCGTTGACCTATGAACCCCAACATGGTACCACCCTCTAATCCAGGTTAACATATATTAGTAATATTTATGGACTCAGTCCCCATCTCTACACAACAGGGAGTTCTAGCTCTAAGCTCTTTTTCATATCTACTTCAAAGTTCCCAGATTTATTACTCTTGGTCAAGTAATCTTAATAGTAACCTTGCATTTCCGTTCAAATCTTATTACATAGTATCGATATGGATTTGATTGATCAATTCCATGACAAAATGATTTACAAAATTATAGTTCATTGTACCAACAATAAAATCCAATTTGTTCTAACATTTAGATAATTATAGTTCATGGAATTAAATTCCCTTTTCCAATTATGAAGTCACTGCGCGGGTACACTAGTAATGTACATCCTTGTTGAATAACAATTTATTTTACTGTCACTTTTAAGTTCACTATTAATAATTAAAATGATTATATTAAGTATATAGTACAAATTTAAAATGTACAATAAAATGTCTGTTCTAAACACAATAGGTTTACAGGTTCGGTCTAAAGAACTGGTATCCGCACACAGTTTCACTAACACCTGCTGAGCTTTATTTTTCACATTCAATGATGGACTTCTGGTCAAACTTTGCTAAGACAGGGTAAATTTATGAAGATTTAAAACGCTTAAAAAATACTTTTATTTGCCCTTCATTTTTATGGTACACGTAAATAATGTTATGAAGTTTAAAGCTGATTACAGAAAATCTAAACAAATGATGTACTTGTAAATCAATTTTCAGAAATCCTAATACGGGACAAAAAAATCTGTGGAAATCATTCGACCTGAGAAACAGACGCTATCTTTCTCTTGATATACCATTAAAGTCAGGAGTATCTTTGTATGGATCTAGGATGGACTTCTAGGATAGAACGATTCCAAACGTAGTTCATGCATGTAGAAGTGGATAATATATAATTCCAACCTCGTTGGGGAGAATTCGCGGGATTTTAAAAGAAGTGAATGCTAAGAACATTTCGATTTTCAGAAAAGTGCCATACGCTTTACCTCCTCTAAATACATTGAATTTTGCCAAACCAGTTCCTGTTGGTCCGTGGAATGGAACTCTTGAGTCAACTGTTTTTGGACCTTCGTGTGTTCAGTTTCTTGACATAAATAATCCAAGACTTCCTAATGTTAATATGTCTGAAGATTGTTTTCATCTGAACATCTACGCACTATTTCCTGTACGACAGATTTCAAGGAAGGCCGTCACGATTTGGAGACACGGGGGCGGATTCACAGGAGGCCAGGGGACCTCCATAGATGGAAGTCATCTGGCTCTTAAAGGTGACGTCTTAGTTGTAACCATTTTAAATTGCCGACTAAACATCTTTGGGTTTTTCAGCACTGGTAGTTCGGACACAATGGGTAATCATGGTAATTATGGTTTGTACGACCAACAGCTTGCCATCAAATGAGTAAAAGATAATATTCTTTCTTTCGGGGGAGATCCCAACAGGATAACGTTATTTGGAGAATCAGCCGGGGGAGTCTCTACCACTCTACAAGGTGTGATACCAAGCAACAAAGGAATGTTTCTGAGAGTTATTGGAGAGAGTGGATCTTTTCTTGCTCGAAGAGACTACGAAACAAAGACGCTTGACACTTCTCACCTAGTGATTGCAAAACTGTCGTGTCTGTAATCATCACAAAAGGAAATGCTGGATTGTCTTCGCTCAAAAATCCCTGGTAATTTATTAAAGATTTGGGGGGAAATTTCTTGGAATCAGTCGCATTCTGGTAGCTATTTACTCACGACGTCTATTGGCCCAATTACAGACGGGGAACTCATTCCAGAATCTCCCGATGCTGCAATGTCAAATCCTAATTCAGCAATGCACAAACAGTTAAACAGTATTGACCTACTTGTTGGAACCAACACGGCGGATGCAAGGCTTCTTTATTTTAATCTAAAACCACATGCCTCCATTTTCAAATTTAACTTATCTGAGGGTGTGCCCACGAGAATAGTTTGTGATGAAATGGCGCCTTCAATTGTGAGGGAAATTTATGAGATGAATTGTCCTTCTTTGGTCACTGCCATATGTAAACAATACACCCCAACCTCACCAGCGACACTGCAAGCTCAATCCCAGATGGCTGCAGACCTTTATGGAGATTTTCTGGATGATGTACCGACCATCAAGTCTCTTAAAGCACATGCCGCGTCGAGCAGGTCAACATTTCAGTACCTGTTTTCACACAGACCTGCCTGGGAGGTAATTGGAGAGCGCCCCACGTGGCTAAAGGGAGCTAACCACGCATCGGAATTGCCCTTTGTATTTGGACTGAAGACTTTCTATCCACCAAATGTGCATATATCACCAGAAGAGCAAGGTCTAGCGGATCAGATGATGAAGTACTGGACAAATTTTGCCAAATATGGGTAAGAAGAACATAATTTCTGGTAAAGTGAATTTAGATTTAAACTTATTTTCTGGATGATAATTACATTATAGGTTAAAGTAACCCAGGTGCATCACGTTTTGGTAAAATAAGTTGATTCTTCAAATCAAACCTGAAAAATATAGGAAGTATACTTTTCACGTATTTAGTTAATTTTCTTTTAAAATTGATCTACTAAAAACACAAGGCTCATATTTAACCTTAGTTTAATTTGTTGTACTCGTGATATCAAGTACCAAAAGGGTTTTTAATGTCTGTCGACACGATGCTCAGCTCTAAGATCTGTTCTGTATCTCTTTATAATATACTAGAAATTAAATCTTTTTATCATAATTATTAATGTATTGTGATTTTAAAACTGTTTTCAAAAGTCTAAGTACTTAAAGACATAAAAAATAGTGATGTTGGCATGCTAGTAAACTACCTTACCAAACTGTTATGTTAACTGCAAATATGCAGCAAGTTTGCAGCAAACAAATTGGTCGCAGGTAGAAAATATTCTTGTTTGCAGATAAGTTATGCTAGCTATAATTTAGCGACAAACATTGCAGCAATGACGGTTCGCAAGATCCCTGCATATTTGCAGGAACATTGCAAGAAATATACCTGTACACGTGAATCTGTTCTTCTCAGCAAGTGTGCAAGAAAATTTAACAAACTGAATGTTTGGAGGAAGTTCGCAAGAACAGTAAACAAGTAAAATCAGCTATTGAAATGCAGGTACCCAAGTCAACAAAGAATGTGGAATTGTTGTTATTATTTAGTATTTTGATAGTGATATATACCATTTTCAATGATTACAAAAACCTTCTTCAAGACGTAGGCGTACATTGATATACGCAACACGTATTTGGAAAGTTCTAATTTTGTTTTTCTTTAATATAAAACTGTTAATTCTTTTTAAATAAATAATTAACTTGTTAGGTAAAATCTATTTTTGAATACTCTGTATATGTCAGAAATAAATATTTTATTTAACATTTTAATTATGAATAGTATGGTAACATTGTCGAGGAACTTACGAGGGCCGTTCAAAAATTACGCGGACTGTTTGCACAGAAAAGAAATTGGCGACATAATCGGGAGAAAAGTCACTTATAAAATGCGAACTTTCATTTTCTCAATTCTACTGAGCATAAACATCCATATACCATTTCTTATCAAGCTTAAAATCTGTAAAACAAGTATAACATATTCTGTTCCGTTTTAAACCCCAAAGTTGCAGGTATTTATTAGATACAGAGTGACGTTGGTCACTCACAATCACGTTCTTAACAGTCCATAAAAAGTTTTCGTCGATGATCTTCTTCCCCTCCCCTCCCGTGTAGCATTTTACAGAGGTCTAACCGTCTAAAATTCTAATTTGCTATGTGTAGACAATTGTCGGGAATACCCTAGTTTACTATATGTTTTTATCATGCATATTGTGGATCTATGAGTAGTGATTTCTCGAGCATTACACTTAATTTGACAAAAGTGCTGTGCGCCGTCAATTCAAAAGATGCAATTTTCACACTTGTTCTCACAGGAGAAAAAACACTTTATTTCTGTTAGTAGTTCAAAAGTTACGTAAAGAAATCTAAATACATAATAATAGAACAAAATAAAGATACATTTAAGAAAATTGTCGAAAAATATCGCGAATTATAGGATTCTGCATGTTTGTGTTTCAATTTTTTTTGTTTTACTCCGTATCTCTCCATCAGCGATTTCAAACCAGCGAAGGAATCTTGCACAAATGCCTTGTAAGGTACTAAAATTTTGTGTGAGGAAACTTAAATTTTTTTTTATTTATTGACTTTAATCACAAACATACATACACATACACAGACGTACACACCATGGCTGGGAGTTGAAAATGTACATTTTTAGAATAGGAAACTTAAAATAACAAAACTGCAATGAAAAATTCTTTGGGTAAAATATATTTTCAGAAACCCTGACGGTAATTCCACGGGAATTTGGAAACCTTACACCGTAAACAGTAGAGACTACATCAGGCTTGACCTGAACGTTACCATGTAGTCATCCGTGTACAAAGACAGAGTTCACTTCTGGACAGACACGGTGCCTGGGATTGTAAAGGGTTGTCAAGAGCGATCAGTTGACGCAGCCTCATCTAATCACTATAACATTTCATTTGTCTTAGGATTGCTATTTATATTTATCCTAAATTTATGTTTCTCACGATATAAATTAATTTATATTTTACAGTAAAAATATATTAATTGTGTATCAAGCATAATTACAGCTTTAACAATATAATTTCATTTTGATATACCACATTTGGTTTTCATTCAGAATTATTACAAGATCCTTTGTTATTTTTATGTAAAGATGCCTATCTCAGTTTTTTTCTTCATATATTTAGCATATCTTTCCTTAGAAGCAACTACATATCAACCCGATTATTTTTTAGTTTCATTTTTTCTATGCTTCTTTGTTTCTTTTGTTTATCTGCTTAACGTCCTTTTGAAAATTTTCAATCACATTTGGTCGCCACCTCTTGCCGTGGAATGACTGCAGATTCAGACCTGTACTTGGCACTCCAGTGCCACTGAGCTGTATCGTGGTAACACAAATATCTGTCACTTCAAAACTTATAGATACACAAATTCACCGTACTATTCACCGAGTTTATCATCGAAAGTATTTAATCTACAGATATATACGTTTTACTAAACGTCTGCATCGTACTCTGTCTAAAGGTAAAACATGTGTTTGTTTTTATTTGTTGAATGAATATTCCGTTGAATTGCAAAAAAAAAAATATATAAATGCTCATACACATTTTTCAAGCAAATATAATTAAATTGTGCCATGTAGAGAGCAATCTTAAATTACAGTTCTATTTCTATGACACTTGTATGCTGTTTTGTTAACTTCAAATACCACTTCGAATAAATTTCCGTATGTTTAATTCATCAGATATGTACGATGCAAGATTCTTTCTTTATTGCAAAGGAAAATAATGAACCAAACAATTTGACTACAAAATTTATATCACTCCTGTTTCAATAATAATTTGTTTTTCAAACATTACTTTTTATTTCAGATGCAACAGGAAACATTGTACTCAATAATCAAACGATTATTCGTAAGCCTTCTTTTGATCACTATTTCCAGAACATCTGGTATCAACATAAGGACAAGGTTGGGTCAGATACAGGGAGCTACAGCCGTTGTGAATAATGTAAGTGTTCATCAGTTCCTCAAAATTCCGTTTGCCAAACCTCCCATCGGGACACTTCGGTTTCGGAAGCCGGAGCCTTTTGGAAATTGGAGGGGAACACTTAAAGCCACACAGTTCGGACCGTCATGCATGCAGAATATCTATGATAACGACAAACGTTTGATTCCAAACCTTAACATTACCGAGGACTGTCTTCAGCTGAACGTGTTTGTCCCAGGAGATATTTACAGACAGCGAAACCTGTCCGTTATGATATGGGTACATGGAGGGAGTCTCACGAATTGGCAGGGTACGATGTTCAATGGCTCCTACCTTGCTTCTCGAACAAACGTTATAGTGGTGTCTATTAATTACAGACTGAATGTGTTTGGGTTCCTCTACGCGGGCCTAGACTCCAATTTTAAGGGACATTATGGATTCTTTGATCAACAACTGGCTTTTAAATGGGTGAAGGATAACATAGAAGATTTTGGCGGGAATTCCAATAGCATTACCATATTTGGAGAGTCTGCTGGGGGAGTATCTGTTACTTTACATAGTATTATTCCTAGTAACCTAGGCTTATTCCAGCGTGTTATAGCAGAGAGTGGGTCTGTGATGGTGCCGGCAGATGTACCCGTCACTGATACAGAATCACTAAATGTGATGAAACAAACGGCCAAACTTCTGCACTGCTCAAGTTCTAACATTGATGAGACAATGCGTTGTCTACAGTCTATAAATGCATCTTATTTAATGGCCAAATATTACGAATCGATGACCTCAAATATTGAGTTTTCATCTCCTGCTGGGGAGCTCTTCAACCAATCCCTTTTCAACAGTCTGAAAAATCGGAATTCAGCTGCATTAAAAATGTTACAGAGTATAGATCTAATGGCAGGTACCAATAAAGGTGAGGCTGGATTAGAGTACTTTGAACTGGCTGGTTTCCAAATGTCCTGGGGTTTTAATATCTCCGCGAATATCCCATCAAGAATTCTTTGCGAACACATTGCCCCTACCATAACTGAAGAGTGGTTTAAAACCTGTGATGACCTTAGTGTTGCAATATGCCATAAGTACTTGAAGACTTTGGCAAAAAATGTTTCTCTTATAGATGAAACACAAGCGGCAGCAAATTTATTTGCTGATTTAGCGATGAATTATCCAACATTTTACTTACTTCAGTTACATTCCTACACGAAGAACAATAACACCTATCAATATTCATTTGCACACAAACCCACTTGGGAGTTAATCCAAGACAGACCGGCGTGGCTTCGAGGACCAAACCACGCCTCCGAACTGGCGTTTGTGTTCGGTCTGAAGAACTGGTATCCGCACACTGTATCACCAACACCTGCTGAGCTTGATTTATCACATTCGATGATGGACTTCTGGTCTAACTTTGCCAAGACCGGGTAATTTTGAATATCATAATTTGCTCTTTTTCTTTGCAGTACTTGTATATAATTTTTTAAAGTTTCAAGGCTCACCGCTGAGTACTAAGAATTGTAACAAATCGGTACAAATTTATTTTTTAGGAATCCCAACACGGGACAAAAAAGTCTTTGGAGATCATTCGACATGAGAGACAAACACTATCTTTCTCTTGATATACCATTAAAGCCAGGTGTATCTCTGTATGAATCTAGGATGGACTTCTGGGATAGAACGATTCCAAACGTAGTTCATGCATGTAGAAGTGGAGAATATATAATTCCAACCTCATTGGGGAGAATTCGCGGGATCTTAAAAGAAGTGAATGCTAAGAACATTTCGATTTTCAGAAAAGTGCCATACGCTTTACCTCCTCTAAATACATTGAGGTTTGCCAAACCAGTTCCCGTTGGTCCGTGGAATGGAACTCTAGATTCAACTGTTTTTGGACCTTCGTGTGTTCAGTTTCTTGACATAAATAGCCCAAGGCTTCCTAATGTTAATATGTCTGAGGACTGTCTACATCTGAACATCTACGCACCATTTCCTATACGGCAGACGTCAAAGAAGGCTGTCATGATTTGGATACACGGGGGCGGATTCACAGGAGGCCAGGGAACCTCCATAGATGGAAGTCATCTGGCTCTTAAAGGTGACGTCATAGTCGTAACCATTAATTACCGACTAAACATCTTTGGGTTTTTCAGCACTGGTAGTTCGGACACTTGGGGTAATTATGGTTTGTACGACCAACAACTTGCCATCAAATGGGTAAAAGAGAATATTCTTGCTTTTGGGGGAGATCCCAACAGGATAACGTTATTTGGAGAATCAGCCGGGGGAGTCTCTACCACTCTACAAGGTGTGATACCAAGCAACAAAGGAATGTTTCTGAGAGTTATTGGAGAGAGTGGATCTTTTCTTGCTCGGAGAGACTACGAAACAAAGACGCTCGACACCTCTCACCAAGTGATTGCAAAAATGTCTTGTCAGAGATCATCACAGAAAGAAATACTGGATTGTCTTCGCTCAAGGAAAGCCAGTGATTTATTAAAGATTTGGGGAGAAATTTCTTGGAATCAGTCGCATTCTGGTAGCTATTCACTCACGACGTCCATCGGCCCAATTACAGACGGGGAACTCATTCCAGAATCTCCCGATGCTGCAATGTCAAATCCTAATTCAGCGATGCACAAACAGTTTAACAGTATTGACCTACTTGTTGGAACCAACACCGCAGATGCAGGACTTCTTTATTTTAATCTAAAACCGTATGCCTCCATTTTTAAATTTAACTTATCCGAGGGTGTGCCCACGAGAATAGTTTGTGATGAAATGGCGCCTTCAGTTGTAAGAGAAATTTATGAGATTAATTGTACTGCTTTGGTCACTGCCATATGTAAACAGTACACCCCAACCCCACCAGCGACACTCCAAGCTCAATCTCAGATGGCTGCAGATCTTTATGGAGATTTTCTGGAGGATGTACCGACCATCAAGTCTCTTATAGCACATGCCTCGTCAACCAGGTCAACATTTCAGTACCTGTTTTCACGCAGGCCCGCCTGGGAGGTTATTGGAGAGCGCCCCGCGTGGCTGAAGGGAGCTAACCACGCATCGGAATTGCCCTTTGTATTTGGACTGAAGACTTTCTATCCACCAAATGTGCAAATATCACCAGAAGAGCAAGGTCTAGCAGATCAGATGATGAAGTACTGGACAAATTTTGCTAAATATGGGTAAGAAGATCTTAATTTCTGGTAAAGTGTATTTAGATTTAAACTTATTTTCTGGATGATAATTACATAATAGGTTAAAGTAACCCAGGTGCATCACGTTTTGGTAAAATAAGTTGATTCTTCAAATCAAACCTTTAAAATATAGGAAGTATACTTTTCATGTATTTAGTAAATTTTCTTTTAAAATTGATCTACTAAAAACACGACGCTCCTATTTACCCTTAGTTTAATTTGTTGCACTCGAGACGTCTAGTACCAAAATGTTTTTTTAATGTCTGACGACACGATGCTTTAAGATCTGTATTGTATCTATTTAAATATATTATAATATACAAGAAATTGATCCTTTTTATCATAATTATTAATGTTTTGTGATTTTAAAACTGTATTCAAAATTTTAAGTACATAAAGGCACCAAAAATTGTGATATTGGCAATGCCAGCGATCTCCGTTTCCAAACTGTTATGTTTACTGCAGATCTGCAGCATGTTTGCAGCAAACAAAATTGATCACGAAAAGAAAATTTTCTTGTTTGCAAATAATTTTCGCTAGATATAATTTTGCAACAAACATTGCAACAATGACTATAAGATTGCAGCATGTTCTCAGCATATTTGCAGGAACTTTGCAAGAAATATACCCATACACGCCAATATGTTGATCTCAGCAAGTTCGCAAGAAAATGTAACAAACTGAATGTTTGCAGGAAGTTCGCAAGAATATTAAACAGGTCAAACCAGCGAGTGAAATGTAAACTGTACCGAGGCAACACAGAATTTGCAACATTGAAATATTTGAATTGAAGTTGTAGAATTGTAGATGTTATTCAGTATTTTGTACGGAATATATACAATTATGAAAAATTACAAAAGCTTAGTTCAAGATCTAGACCTAGTGGTATATGAATATACGTAACACATAATTGGAAAGATCTAATTTTGTTTTTCATTAATATAAAACTATTCAATCTGTTTAAGTAAATGATGAATTTTGCTAGGTAAAAGTTAAGTCTATTTTTGAATTTTCTTAATACATGTATGTCAAAAATAAATATTTCATTTGACATTTTAATTGTGAATGGTATGGTAACATTGTCGCGGAACATACGAGGGCCGTTCAAAAATTACGCTTGCACAGAAAAAAATATTTGTCGACATAATCGGGGAAAATGTCACATATAATATAAAAGAATAATTTCTTAAATGGTATTCAAAATTAAATATGAAAATGTTTTGAATTGATGCCATTCATGGATGATTTAATTAACAGGACAAATTAATAAGTCATGACACAGTAAAATCTTCAATGTCACGGGTATTATAAAAATGCGAACTTTCATTTTCTCAACGTTTTCCTTCAGAGTTAGATTCTATACAGTCTGAGTTACCATTTCTACATTAACATCCGTGTATCAAGCTTAAAATCTGTAAAGCAAGTATAACATATTCTTTTTTGTTTCGAACCCCAAAGTTGCAGGTATTCATAAGATACAGTCCAGATCTAGATAAAGTTTTCTTTGATGATCTTCTTCCCGTCCCCTCCCGTAAAGCCTTTTACAGGAGAAATGTTGAAAAATGCAGACATTTTACCAACCCATTTATTGGATTCTTTGAGGTACCCGGGCAAATGGTTAATATTGGTTGTTTGCAAGTTAGCAACAAAGATTGCAGCAAGTATTGTATTGTATTGTTTTGTGGACTCTGATTTTGATACTGATCGTTATCTCCATATCCTACATTGCCGTAAGTTTGCTGCATACTTGCTGCAAACACAAAGGTTTCCTATAGGCTTACATGGTTTCTCTAGCTTTATTGCAGACTAGTAGCAAATGGTTTCAGGAAGATAATATTTTGGTAAGGTATTATATGCCTTTTAATTGCTCTAATTTTCTGTGAGGAAGCTGCAATGAAAAATTCTTCGGGAAAAAATATTTATTATTGAGGACCACGTAGGCTGAACTCACTCACTTGTCTTGATCAAGTAGTAAAGATACAATAATACTTGTATAATAATCAACAGTTATCTAAATATTTTTGATTTTGCGAAACAGACAGCTGTGTTTTATCAAGATACACATTTCATTTCAGTAACCCTGACGTTAACTCCACGGGAATTTGGAAACCTTACACCGTAAACAGTAGAAATTACATCAGGCTTGACCTGAACATTACCATGGCGTCATCCCTGTACAAAGACAGAGTTCACTTCTGGACGGACACTGTTCCTGGGATTGTAAAGGGTTGTCAAGAGCGATCTGTTGACGCAGCCTCATCTAATCACTATAACATTTCATTTCTCTTAAGATTTCTATTTATATTTAATATCATAAATTTATGTTTCTCATGATGATTATTTTTTTTAGCATAATAATTGTATATCAAATATAATTATGTAAAATGTATAATTACAGCTTTAACAATGTTTTCAATCATTTCGGTTGACCACATTTGGTTTCCATACAGCATTGTTCTATGATCCTTTGTTATTTTATATTAAGATGCCCATTTAATTTTTTTCTTCATTCATTCAGCATACTAGTATCTGTCCTAAGATGGATATTAAAAAAATATTATATGGAGATAATGAACAGTATTCAAAAGTCCATAAAACAATACAAAATAGGAACAGAGCAAAAAGGACCTCCAAACATCAGTGATGGGATCAGGTGCCATGGAGGAGTGAGCATCCAATGCCGACCGGTCAATCCCTCCGTTTCTCCTTTTCATGATCGGGAAATAAAGAAAAAATCCGCCGTCAATTTAGTGTTTGAATAATGGACTGACAATTGGTATGAAAAACGTCAGTCAGGATTTGACTCATGATAAATTATATCATTGAGACATTGTATTGATAATAGAATTTCAAATTGTCCAAAAAGTTTCTTGGAATTTTTAAGCATTCACATTTGATTTACATCACTTCTTGAATTTATTGTTGCACACTACTCTTGAAGTATCTCCTTCACTACTGTTAATATATTAGTGAGAAGTGAAGAAAGAGGCTTGGTTTAACATTTACTAGAACCTGCTATGCATAGTTGTTTGTAAGGATTTTTATTAAATTTTGGAATCCAATATAGATATGGTAATTGAAATTCATTTTGGTTGTATAATGCAATTTTTATAATGAGTCTTTCAAAAGAAGACAATGTTATTACCTTATTTGTCAACAGGGACCATCACTTACTGATCATGTAATGTATCTTATTCTTTTTCACTTTTGGATTGTTGAATGAAAAATCAGAGGTGAGATCAGGTGCCATGGAGAAGTGTGCATCCCCTGCTGACCGGTTACACCCGCCGTGTGCTCCTTGTCATGATCGGGAAATAACGGAAAAAGTCCGCCGTCAATTCAGTGTGTAAATAATGGACTAACAATTAGTATGATAAAGTCACTATTTGACTCAATGTTAAGTTGTATTTGCTGACAAGGTCATTGTTTCAACCATTAGACCATAGAACTTAGGAAATGATGACTTTAAATGAAACTGCTGATATTCTTGTTTCATCAACTTGTTTGTCAATAATTTACCTTGTTTTAGAAATTGTTTATACGTAGAGCATGCTTTTGGTTATTAAATCAACTGAGAGATAAAAACTCCGCATGCGTGTGATGAAGGTGTAGGTATATGGAGGTAAGTTTTACGAGTTCCATTTATATTGAAAGAGAGCGGACAATGGTATCAAAAAGCCAGGACTTTAATTTATCGTAGGGAATGGTTGTCTTTTAAGTTGTAAAGTCGTAAGTTTTAAAGCTGTTGATTTTGGTAAAACCTTGAGATTTCAAATAGTCCAAAAGTTCCTTGGAAACTTTAAGTATCCACATCTGATTTACACCACTTCTTGAATATATTGTTGCAAAGTACTCTTGGAGTTTCTCCTTCACTTCTGTTAATACAGAAGGACAGATGGTTTTCATATTGCCCCTTAATCTTTTATACGCGATTGTAACATAGATCTGATACATTCAATACATTCTGACAAAGTGTCAACGTCTTCTTTTTCATATCTGGACCTTCACCTGGCGTAATCACCAAAAGAATCCATAATAGTTATGAAATCCAAACGACAGTTGAAGGGTCGATGTTACCTATGTTTAGGACCTTTTAAGATTATTTATCTAAGGTCCTCATTATAAACTATATTTACGTCACCTGTAATAACGTGTCCAGGAGGACTATAGTTATGGGTGAAGAGAACTATAAACCCGATTATTTTCAATTTATTTTCTTCTAAGGTAATTTGTTGAACGTCCCTTTCGAAAATTTTCAATTATATTGAGTCGATACCACAAACCGATAGAGGCTGCAGATTTAGACCTGTTGAATACAGGTCTGAGCAATATCGTGGTAACACAAATATCTGTCACTTCAGATCGCATAAATACACAAATGTACCGTACTATCAAACCGGTTTATCATCCACAGTATTTGATCTATGTTAATGCTTTACTAAACGTCTGCACCACATATTGTGTAAAGGTAAACATGTGTTTGTTTTTATTTGGCAATTAAATATTCCGTTGAATTGCTTAAAGAAGAAAATATAAATAATCATTCTCATGCACATTTTCAAGCAATTATAAGTGAATTGTGCCTTTTAGAGACTAATCTTGAAATACAGTTCAACTTCTATCAGATTTGTATGCCGTTTTGTTAACTCTCAAATACCATCTCAAATAGATTTTAGTATGTCTAATTCATCAGACATGTACGATGCAATTTTTTCTAATGTAAAGGAAAAAACCAACTAGAATATTTCACCAAAAGAAAGTATGTTTCTCCGACTTCAATAATGATTTGATTTTTTTAAAAATTCCATTTCAGATGCAACAGGAAAGATTATACTCGAAGATTAAACGATTAATCATCAGCCTTCTTTTGGCCCTAACGTCAATAACTTCCGGTATCAACATAAGGACAAAGTTGGGTCAGATAGAAGGCGCTACAGTCGTTGTAAATAATGTAAGTGTTCACCAGTTCCTCAAAATACCGTTTGCCAAACCTCCCATCGGAACACTTCGGTTCCGGAAGCCAGAGCCTTTTGGAAAATGGAACGAAACACTAAAAGCAACAGAGTTTGGACCATCATGCATGCAGAACATCTATGAAAACGACCAACGTCTGATTCCAAACCTTAACATTACCGAGGACTGTCTTCAGCTGAATGTGTTTGTCCCAGGAGATATTTACAGACAGCAGAACCTCTCCGTTATGATCTGGGTACATGGCGGTAGTCTAACGCACGGGCAGGGTACCATGTTTAATGGCTCCTACCTCGCTTCTCGAACAAACGTTATAGTGGTGACTATAAATTACAGACTGAATGTGTTCGGGTTTATCTACGCGGGCCTAGACTCCAATTTTAAGGGACATTATGGATTCTTTGATCAACAACTGGCTTTTAAATGGGTGAAGGATAACATAGAAGATTTTGGCGGGAATTCCAATAGCATCACCATATTTGGAGAGTCTGCTGGAGGAAGATCTGTTACTTTACAGAGTATCATTCCTAGTAACCTAGGTTTATTCCAGCGTGTTATAGCAGAGAGTGGATCTGTTTTGGTGCCAGCAGATGTACCCGTCACTGATACAGACTCACTAAATATGATGAAACAAATCGCCAAACTTATGAACTGCTCACGTTCTAACATTGATGAGACAATGCATTGTCTACAGTCTAATAACGCTTCTTATTTAGAATCAATGACATCAAATATTCGGTTTTCCTTGCCTGCTGGGGAGCTCTTTAACAATTCCCTTTTCAGCGATCTGAAAAATACGAATTCAGCTTCTTTTAAAATGTTACAGAGTATAGATCTAATGGCAGGCACCAATACAGGCGAAGCTGGATTAGAGTACTTTAAATTAGCTGGTTTCCAAAAGTCCTGGGGTTTCAACGTCTCCGAAAATATCCCATCAAGAATTCTTTGCGAACACATTGTCCCAGATGTTACTGAAAAATGGTTTCAAACCTGTGATGACCTTAGTGTTGCAATATGCCATAGGTACTTGCAGAATGTGGCAGAAAATGCTTCCCTATTAGACCAAACTCAGGCAGCCTCAGATTTGTACGCTGATTTAGCGATTAATTATCCAACATTTTACTTACTTCAGTTACATTCAAACACGAAGAACAATAATACCTACCAATATTCCTTTGCACACAAACCCACTTGGGAGCTAATGCAGGACAGACCGGTGTGGCTTCGGGGACCAAACCACGCCTCCGAACTGGCGTTTGTGTTCGGTCTAAAGAACTGGTATCCGCATACAATTTCACCAACACCTGCTGAGCTTGATTTGTCACATTCAATGATGGACTTCTGGTCTAACTTCGCCAAGACAGGGTAAATTTATGAAGATTTTAATGCATGGTTTTAAATATATCTTTTTACTCTCCTTTTTTGCAGTACTTGGCTACAAGGCTAATTGCTAAGCACCAAGAATGTAAACAAATGCAGTAAAAATTAATTTTCAGAAATCCCAATTCTAGAGAGCAAAATATTTGGAAATCATTCAACATGAGAAAGAGACACTATCTTTCTCTTGATATACCATTAATGCCAGGAGTATCTCTGTATGGATCTAGAATGGACTTCTGGGATATAGATATACCAAACGTAGTTCATGCATGTAGAAGTGGAGAATATATAATTCCAACTTCGTTGGGGAAAATTCGCGGGATCATAACAAAAGTGAAATCTAAGAAAATTTCGATTTTCAGGAAAGTGCCATACGCTTTACCTCCTTTAAATACATTGAGGTTTGCCAAACCACTCCCCGTTGGTCCGTGGAATGGAACTCTAGATTCAACTGTTTCTGGACCTTCCTGTGTTCAGTTTCTTGACAAAAATAACCCAAGACTTCCAAATGTAAATATGTCTGAGGACTGTCTGCATCTGAATATCTATGCTCCATTTCCTATACGACAGACGTCAAGGAAGGCCGTCATGATTTGGATACATGGGGGCGGATTCACAGGAGGCCAGGGAACCTCCATAGATGGAAGTCATCTGGCTCTTAAAGGTGACGTCATAGTTGTAACCATTAATTACCGACTAAACATCTTTGGGTTTTTCAGCAATGATAGTTCGGACACTCGGGGTAATTATGGTTTGTACGACCAACAACTTGCCATCAAATGGGTAAATGAAAATATTCTTGCTTTCGGGGGAGATCCCAACAGGATAACGTTATTTGGAGAATCAGCCGGGGGAGTCTCTACCACTCTACAAAGTGTGATACCAAGCAACAAAGGAATGTTTCTGAGAGTTATTGGAGAGAGTGGATCTTTTCTTGCTCGAAGAGACTACGAAACAAAGACGCTTGACACCTCTCACCAAGTGATTGCAAAAGTGTCTTGTCAGAGAACATCTCAAAAAGAAATATTGGATTGTCTTCGCTCAAAGGACGCTGGTTATTTATTAAAGATTTGGGGAGAAATTTCTTGGAATCAGTCGCATTCTGGTAGCTATTCACTCACGACGTCTATTGGCCCAGTTACAGACGTGGAACTCATTCCAGAATCTCCCGATGCTGCGATGTCAAATCCTAATTCAGCGATGTACAAACAGTTCAACAATATTGACCTACTTGTTGGAACTAACACAGCAGATGCAGGGCTTCTTTATTTTAATCTAAAACCATATGCCTCCATTTTCAAATTTAACTTATCCGAGGGTGTGCCCACGAGAATAGTTTGTGATGAAATGACGCCTTCAATTGTAAGAGAAATTTATGAGATTAATTGTTCTTCTTTGGTCACTGCCATATGTAAACAGTACACCCCAACCCCACCAGCGACACTCCAAGCTCAATCTCAGATGGCTGCCGATCTTTATGGAGATTTTCTGGAGGATGTACCGACCATCAAGTCTCTTGATGCACATGCCTCATCAACCAGGTCAACATTTCAATACCTGTTTTCTCACAGACCTGCCTGGGAGGTAATTGGAGAGCGCCCCTTATGGCTAAAGGGAGCTAACCACGCATCGGAATTGCCCTTTGTATTTGGACTGAAGACTTTCTATCCACCAAATGTGCAAATATCAGCAGAGGAGCAGGCTCTTGCAGATCGAATGATGGAGTACTGGACAAATTTTGCGAAATATGGGTAAGAATTTAAAGAACTACGAATTCTATCTCTCGATTCCCGCCTTCATTTTGCACCCATTAATTTCAATTTGAATGGCAATTTGGCCATAAAATGTTTATTTAATACAAAGAACTGTTCAATGTTTTTTGATTAATTATTGAAATACCAGCGCTAGATAGTATATAATCCTTAATTCCAGGTCTTGAAAAAAAGGAAGGTGGGGGAGTAGACGATATTTTCAATTGAAATCGGATTTTCAAGGATATGATTAAATGGTCCTTAAATCTTTTCTTATGTTTATACATTAAACACCTAATTATTAATAAAATACAATATATGCTGTAGTTGTAAATAGCTTTGAAATTGTTAAAAATAAGCATTTTTTTCGATCTGTGTCTACAAACATACGCCCCTCCCCGTAAAATACAAAAAGCTTTGGTATGAATCTTTGAAATGTCAGTCCATTTTACCTGTAAAAAGGAATTTTTGTTGCACTGGGGTTAGGGGGGTTGGGGTGGGGATGTTTTAAAAATATTTTGCGTTTTCCGTTGATTTCTATAGTGAAAAGCACAAGTTTTACCAAAATTATACATCTCTCTTTCTTATCTCTTTTTTCCCAAAATAAGTAATGTATTATGAAATCGATATACATATCTATGAAAATTTTAAAATCGTTCGAAGAGTTATCTTTTGAAAATTGACTTGGAGGCAGGCGGGAGGTGCAGCATTAAATTAAATGTATTATTGGAAATATGAACGGAGTTAATTTTGTAATTTTTGTATGCCTTTTAGGAATATATGAGATACATACTAAGTTTTTTTTTTAATGGATTTAAAGATGATAATAAGAGCTATATCGTCTAAGAGTTTCTTTGATATTTATGTTTGTGAAGTTACTAGCTTCGTTCTTGAAGTTTTATAATAATATTTATTGTCTATTCTTGAAGTTTTATAATAATAATTATTGTCTATTATAATTTTGGTTTCTTAATTTTTAGAGGAAAAGAAATGTGATCAAATAAATTATAAAAAATACGCTTTTTTAGTAAAATGAATCAACTCTTTTAATCTAATTTGAGATATTTAAAGCTGACATGAATTCTTAAAAACGCAACATTTTCATCTACGTACGACTTGTTTCATACCAACTATAGCCGTATTCCGCCATATTTCTTTCACACACCTTGTCTCATTGTAACGATGTATACCCCAATGCGCTCGTTACACTTGAATGAATTTTTGGATTGGGTATCGACTTGTGCACATCTCCGATGGTAAAGCATATGAGAACACATGAGGTGATCAAGACATTTCAAAAACAAAATAAACAACATAATAATCATATTTTTGAATTATTATTGATTTGAATCAAAAGAAAAAAATGCAAGTTTGGAAAAGAAATTTAGATGCATGAGTACGTATTTTTACAGTGCGCCAATTTATGCAGAATAAACTTGAAATAAAAAGCAGTAAAATTTGCAAACACATTTTGAAATTATATCATTGAACATTGAATAGAACAAAACAACCAACGTCTTTGATTTGCAGGTCCTATGCAATTGATGCATATCGAGAAAACGCCTCGAACGCTGTAAACGTACCCATACCTGGTAATAAGGTTACTGCATCGGTTCGAAGATGTGCACAAGTCAAGTGAAATACACCCTGAATTCCATTTATTGAAATATGCATCACAAAAAAGTCAATAAACTCCATAAGAGCTCAATAATAAACACACTGTCATTACTTCGTACACACTAGCACGACGATACACTTAGTCCGTGCTGATCAGATTTTGGTCAGGGAAAATATCAAAAGTGGAAAGAGAAGTTATTTGGTATTTGCGCGGCTGAAAGGGGGGATATTATAACTGATGTTCATAAGCTATAATTGTGAATTGTTTATCTACATGTAGTTCTAATATACATTCTATACAAAGTCATGTATATAGTCTGCAGTTGGTTTGCGTCGCAAAATTCATTTGTCAATTATAACTGATTATTTTAGTACTAATCTCAAATCTAAATAAAGTAATTTGATGTACGGCTATAATTTACTTCAAATCTCAAAAGCAATTAACCAGAATACAAATTTTTATGTGTACATCTATACATTCTTTAACACATACACACATGGAGAAAGGCCATCCCCTGTTCAGATTGACATTTAGGCATTTGATTTTTTGGACGGAGGGGGGGGGATACAAAAATAATTGACATGACGTTATTTAAATATTCTTGGAAGACAGACATTTCTGCCGAATTCAGTTTTGAGATTTTTTTTAAAAATGTGTCCGACCACAAAGTATGTGCATTTTGAAGAATGTAACTGTTTTATAATTATGTTGTTACAGGAAGTATTTCGAGATTTCAGTATCCCTGCCTGAAAGTCTAGGTATATATATATATATATATATATATATATATATATATATATATATATATATATATATATATATATATATATATATATATATATATATATATAAATAATTTCTGTAGGTGAATTTGGGAGATAATTTTGAAAGCTAGGGTAGGGATACTTGACACTGGTTGAATACGGATAATTATTATTTATTCTCTTGTATATTGAACTCTCTCTCTCTCTCTCACTCTCTTTCTTTCTGTATGTAACCACCCGTTGCGCGGTATAAAATCCTACGCACTTTGTGCTGTACCATTTATTATGCCTTAGGACAGATCAAGGATTTTTTTCAGGCGGGATGTCGAAACTTCATAAATTGAATAATAATTTTACTTTGGACAGGAAATTAACCCAAACGCCCAAATTGAAAGAGAAACTAGACGTACATGTATTATGAGCAATGAACTCACTAAATGATACCCCCTGCCTCCCAAATGGTTATAATGGCAAAGTCCATATTTCGCTAAACCCATACGTGTCAGATCAAAAAGTAAAATAGGAGGTACATAATGGTAATATGTAATAAACTTAGGATTCTTTGAAAGTTTCATTAAATTTCTCTAAGTGGTGTAAGAGTATTTGCGGATAAGAGATGGTTACCCCAAAGCGTAACAGACAGACGAACGGACATAACGATTACCTCCCACTTTTCAGGCGGGGGATATAATAAACGTGAAATATAAATCATAGGAATGGGAACATTGGGAACTTTCTCGAATACCTTCTCAAATGTATGTGTCGAACTTGGACAACAGACAAGAGAATTTTTAAAAAACTGTTTTAGGTAGAATGTGGAATCCTCACGAGGAGTTTACTCTCTCTTCCTATATCCTTTTTCTAATAATCATTAATTATTTATGTCTAGAAATTTAATTCACATTAAATTTTATTTTCATTATCATTGTTACCAAAGAATCAAACTCGTTTATTATACCCCTCGCGTGAGGTATAATGTTTTTGACCCGTCAGTCAGTCAGTCAGTCTTTTTTTTTTTTTTTTTTTTTTTTGTCAGCGCAACTTCTCATAAACCGCTGTACAGAGTTTTGTCGAACTTTGCAGATATTTATAGGAGACAATGTGTGTGTAGATTTGCTCATCACCAGGAAATTCCGAATTCTTTATTTTTTTTTTATTTCCGCAATTTAACATTTAGATTTTGGCCATATCTTGAATATAGAGGTGAGCAGTTTGTCAGCGCAACTCCTCATAAACCGCTGCACACAATTTCGTCAAACTTTGCAGATATTTAGGACACATTGTATATAGATGTGCATATTACAAGGAAATTACGATTCCTTTATTTTTTTCTGGGAATTTCAGCACTTCGACTTTTGGGGGAGCGTGGGTATGTGAACGTGTTCACTTTTTCTTTCATTGTGCATAAAATTATAAATAACTTTAAATCAAATTATATTAGGTCTAATAAAGCCAATACACAGTATTTATTTGATAATAATTGATCATAAAGAAATCCAATCTGTTTCAGACGTTTTTCTTATATTATTTTTATGAGAGTGTTATGCATGTTTTATTACACCCCCCCCCTTTCATATCACGGGAAAATATCTTCAAAAGGTGAATGATTCGTAATAATGCCTGCTTTTTTTTTTTTTATGAATTTGATGAAGTCAAACCATGTACTTAATCGTAAATTTTGTTTACATGTACAGACAAGAGTAATGTTTATTTTTGAAAAAAATACTTGCATTTTTTTTTCAATCAACCCCACTGAGCTTTCAACCTTTGATATTTTCCCTGACCAAATAAAATGATCGTCATGGGCCACGTGTGTCCAAGCATCTTTTACTGTTGAGTTAGCAATGGATTACATGACTTCTGAGATGCATTTTTCAATAAAAGTAAATTAGGATAATTCTTTCGACATGTGCACATCCCTGTAACGATAGCAGTAGTCAGGTAAATGTTTTTATCACTGCGTTTGACGCGTTTTCTCGACCTGCATGGGTGTTTGATGTACATGTATGTATTCCGTGTTAGTTTATTTTCTATATTGCAGCAAATGCATTCAAAAATAATTTAATTCTCGGTATGGTTCTATTTTTTATTGAATTTTTACTTTTCAAACATGTATTTTGTCAGTTTATGGACTTCTAAAAAGTTTGTTATTGGAGATGTGTACATGTCGACAGTCAGGCTAGAAAATCACTGAAGTGAAGCAATCGTACAAGGCTATATATAGCAGGTACAGGTGACCAAAAATTTTCAAATAAATATGGCGGAATCAAAGAAATATGGCGGACAAAGGCGTACAGTAATGTAGTAAGTCGTACAAAGATGAAAAATGATGGCTTTTTAAGAGTTCATGTCAGCTTTAAGTATGATATACATGTAGTGATTTTTCATTAAAATACTAGATTTAGTACAAAAATACTTGAAACATATTTTACTTTACATTAATTAGTTGCACCGTGATATCTAGTACGATTTGTAAAGATCCGACGACACGATGATCTCATATTTGTCCGTATTTACAACAAATTAGTAATAATTATCAGTGTGATTTCGAAACTGTCCAAGTACATAAAGAACATCAGTTCATAAATAATAAAAAAAAATGTGATGTTGTCAATGATAGTGATTTCCATTGGGATTATTAATAAAATGCATCCTCTGGTATCTTGCTCAAACACCTGGTAAATTACCTTAATGTTTTGTGAGGAAACTTGTTAAAAATAACAATGCTACAATGAAAAAATTCTTGAAACAAGATGTGTATTTGAAACCCTAATTCCCCCATATGGTAGCCTATAGCAAGGGTTGAATTTTCTCAAATGTATGTCAGCTCCAAAGGTCCAGGTCAAAAGTGTTGGTACCCGAAGGAAGAGGTTGTTACAAAGTAATATACCTGTGAAATGTGAAAATATTTGTTCTAACTATTCAAAAGTTATGGCCAAGATTGTTTTTAAAAAGTGTGTCAAACTCTAAGTCAATGTTAAAAGGTCAAAATATTTATACCCACTGAAAGTTCTTGCCACAATAAATACACACTGAAGTATAAAAACCTTAGCTTCAACTGTTCAGAAGTTATGGCCAAAGTTAAAGTGTGGTATTTTTTTTTGGTGAAAGTAGGCAAAATTCCTAGGTCAATAGGGCAAATTTTATGGTACCCAAAGAAAGGTCTTGTCACAAGGAATACACCTCTGAAATTTGAAAGCCATAGCCCAACCCAGTCAAAGGTAATGGGCAAGGTTAAAGTTTTTGCGTACAAACAGACAGACAGACAGGACAAAAAATATATACTCTAAAAACGTCGTTTACGTGGGCCTAAAAAATACATCATTGATGAACATATTGTATGTCCTTAATCGCTTGCTTTTTCAATAACTTATCTCGATCAAGTTGAAAGGACACTAAAGTAATACTACTTATATTAATAATAATTAACAGTTATCTTACCCGTAATAGTTAATTCATATTACGAAATAGGCAGCTGTGTTTTATCAAGATACACATTTCATTTCAGAAATCCTGACGATAATTCCACTGGAATTTGGAAACCTTACACCGTAAACAGTAGAGACTACATCAGGCTTGACCTGAACATTACCATGGCGTCAACCCTGTACAAAGACAGAGTTCACTTCTGGACAGACACGGTGCCTGGGATTGTAAAGGGTTGTCAAGGGCGGTCTGTTGACGCTGCGCCATCTAATTACTCTTACACTTCATTTGTCTTAGGAATTATCTTCATATTCATCCTAAATTTATGTTTCTTGTAGTGATTTATTTATATTTTTCATTAAGTATATTAACTGTACGAGGGGTGTTAGAAAAGTTCGCGGACAAGTTCTATTGTGAGCACGCTATTTCAACGAAACCGGTTAAACTTTCAAGATAAAATCTTTACCTTTTTTCCAATAAATATACAAGAATTTGGTGCTCTTCGGTGATTAATAAAAAATATACAGCTTTTTTATTTTGATAAAACTTGCTTCACGGAGCATGCTACATTTTGGCACGTTTAGATCACAAAGACTCTTTATTAAAACTAAAAATTGCACAATTGTAGTGCAAAGAGATTTATGATAATTTACCTGCCGCTAAAGTATTCATGAAACGTAACTGAGAGAAATTTTGAACTAAATTGGAGGGTATATGACTGTTTCATAGCCGTTTATAAATGATCAACGCGTAAAACCACAGCCAACAATTGGAACGTCATTGAGCGTCATGGAGCACTGCACTACGTAAAAATTGTGTATGCAGACTGGAAAATGTCTATAAAGTAGGGATGGCAATTTGTAACCGGTTAATCGATTAATCGGTCGGAACGATGCTAATCGGTTAGAAAATCCGTAATCGGTTAGTCGGAAAAAAATGAATATGTGTAAAGAACTATATGCGGTATATTGCATATGTTTGCCCCCACAAAAGTCAAATTTTGAAAACTTCCTGAAATGTGCTGAATTCAATAAATTGTACGAGAAATATAAGTTAACAGAAAATATTATAGTTCCAGAGCAGTGTATTCACAATCATTATTTCTGTTTTTATGTCGTCACAAACTAGTCCGATTTTATATCCTTTTTCAGAAAGAGGACAAAATGGACAAAATTTCCACAATTTAAGCTTTAAAATTTATAGAGCGCATGTGTGTTCAGGAACAATATTGACATATTTCATTGATATTATCATTCTACACATTATATCAAAATATTTATCCTGAACACACATGCGCTCGGTGACTTTTATTTAAAATATTGACGAAATATGTACATTTCTCTGCAAAATTCATAAAAAACTGAAATTACGTCATATTTGTGACGTCATTACGTACATATGACGTCATTACTTATGAAATTATTCAGTGCTTTGAAGTCAGCATATACTCCCCTGTTTAAGGACTTAATTAAATATTACTCCATCAAAGTTTGATTTTGGGGGGCAAATGTTGGTTAATACCGCATATAGTTCTTTGAGCGCAGTTTCCTTAAAATCCCTTCTGTTTTTTTTGTTTTTTTTAGAAAGGAAAGCGCTGCATAGATTTTTATTTAGTGTTTTTACACATCTTATAATTAAGAATATTTGGAGGTAATTATAGCTCTCCGGATTGAGATTGCAGGGTAATTGGTCAATTCGTAAAGTGTTAATTACTGTTTTTGTAACATCATGCCGTACCAAGATAGTCCTGTGGGTTCTTTTTAATGATATTTAAAACATCACCGTTGAGCACTTTTAATTATAGTATGTCTGTATTTTGCCGCTATCTATTAAAGGGGCATGGACACAGTTTCAGTCAAAAATTTTCATTTCATGTTTTTTTGTTTACAAACATTTAAGTAAGTTATTTCTAAAGATCATCAAAATTTTGAATTTCAGTTGTCGAGATACAAAACAGAGTTGTTATGTAAACAAAGCCTGTGCCATGTTTTTGTTTACCTAGGTTAAACATACCAATATATGTTCATTCAAAGCAGATTTTTTCATAAAGAAGTACTAGTTAATTCTAAATACAATTAGACAGTTTCTCATGATTTGCTGAATCTCGTTCTGTTATAAACATGATATTTTCTATATGTAAACAAAAACAAGACACGAGCCTTGTTTACGTTAATTCTAAGTTCTGTTTCTCCTTTGTAAATCAACAAATGGTGTTCAATTTTTTGCTGATCATTGAAGTTGCCTTAGTTATAGAATTGTATAATTAAAATTGGTAAAAAAAAAATCAGTTGATACTGTGTCCATGCCCCTTTAAATTATATTATTATAAAGAACGTTGTAAATTGTAAATAAAGTGAGAGTTTAGACATAAACTAGTTCTAATTATGGTGACAACACAGAATTATATTCGTTAACAGGTCCAGCACAATACCTGATAAAGCTATATAGCTTTATCAAGATATGTTGTGTAATGAAAATACAAAAAAAATCTAAAAAAGTAAATACTCGAGTTCTGAGTTGCTGTCAGTACATTCACTCATGCAAGTAAAGTACTCAAACACAAAGAAATCAGTATAAAAGCATGTCCTGTGAGGAGACGGTTCTTTTATGATGTCCTTTTGATACCCGAGTACTTTTCATGCACGAGTGAACACATTGGCCACAACTCAAGATTCGACTTTTAAATTTAATTTTTTAAGATTTTGTTTTGTATTTTCTTTACAAAACACACCTTGATTAAGGTATTTGTAATACCTTGATAAAGCTTTATAGCTTTATCAAGCTATATACCTTTACCAGGGTATTGTGCTGGACCTGTTTAACATCTGCGTTGGAAAATTATCCCTGTCTGATTTCTTAATTTTTTCTTGTCTATTAAAATTGACATAAATTATACTCTTATGTACATACAATTCCCCGATCAAAATAATAAATAGAATGTAACTTCTAACGTCTTTTTAGCCTTTTTGTGTATATGAAAAGAAAATGACAAAATGTATATCTTGATACGACTAATCGGTTAATCGGTCGGAACGTTTTGCGGTTAACCGATTGGCAATTCTGCAATCGATTGCCATCCCTACTATAAAGAGATTAAAATGTTCAAGATTCTGCCGGGAATTTCCTACAACTACAAAGGACAAGTTTTTAAATGGTTGTAGCTTCAAAAGAATGGAAGGATTTACATTTTGAATGATTAACAATACTATGCAGTACCCCCGTATCGCATGGACGTTGTGTTGCGCCTATGGTTTTGCATAGTTTCCATACTTGATCGATTAACTGCATAGACTTTTTTAAAGATCTCAATAATATCCAAATCAGTTACAAAAGACATTATAGAAGAAAAGTAACATGTCTTGATATAGATATTTAATTTTACAGTAGAAAAAAGATAAGAAATATCTGAAGAAATGAAAGATTTAAAGAACTGCGGCAAAGCTTAACTAGTTGAAATCTGGTTGTCACGTCGCCTTACGTCAAGTAATTGCTCCGTGAATCCCATGACCTCATAGTAAAAATCGTTGTAAATATTCAAGATTTTTTAATATGGACCTGATTTTTTACATACCAATAAACAAAATGTAGGAATTTATTCAGACATATGTTATACTTCACAGTACACAACAGATTTTCCATAATTCAATGTGTCCGCGAACTTTTCTAACGACCCTCGTATATTAACCTACACATTTTCTACACAACTTGTACTTGATTTATTTTGTTACAGAAATAAAAGCAACCAGTTTACTGTCTCTTTTAAGGTTAGACTAATTCAAAATCAACTACGTAACATGTTTTGTAATTTTGAGCACAATAAAATAGAAAGTAATTCTTTGCACACAAATGGCATTTAAGTTTTAATCCAGCCTAGCAGGTAACCTATTGCTTCTTATGTTTCTTTTAGTGCTAAGTCGTAAACTTTTGAACATTTTCAGCTTCTTATTTTCAGCTTCAATTGACATAACATCGATTTGTTACATCGATTTTACAAAAAAATTACATTTTATGCCCTTCCTCCCTTTCTCTCTCTTTCCACATAGTTGAGGCCTGTGCAAAAATTATCATAATTGTTGTTAACCTAAAAAAATCCTCTTCATTCCTGTATATCTGAAGTCAAATTTTGCCATAGTTTTTTTAAAACAGCAAAAAAATTCCATGGCCAAAAGATCTTAGAGTTAAGATTGGGTTGTATTATCTTAAATTGGAAATGTATAAATTCTATCTCCAAAATTATGCCCCATGGGTCAGGAGTTTGTTTGTTTTAAGGTAGGGTCTTATTAATCATTGAGTGAAATGCATAAAATCATCGAAAATTTCCTTGTTTGCTCCTGGGGATTTTGCAGTTCAAATAAGTGCATGGTTATAATGATCAAGGATGGTCTTCTAAATTGTTAATTTCATGTCCAAAAATCAGGGGTATTTTAGGGCAATGCTCTATCGGTAAGATATTGAAAATGTATAAATTATTCAACATCTTTTTCATGTCCCTAAGTATTAAGCAGAGAAAAAAAAATAATTGGCTTTGTCTCTACCAAAATAGGGGAATTCGTGGCCCCCAGGATCATACGTATGGTATTGCGTGGTTCTATTGTTAATAGAGTGGAAATTCATTATTTCTTTGAAAATTTACCCCTAGGACACACCAATAACTTTTTTTGTTCGTCGGATCCGCGCGCTCCTATTTAAACTAAACTAGACAAATAATATTAATTTAAATTTCCCGCACCATGAAAATTCTGAGCTATTTTCTGTTCCATTTCCGATCTATTTATCGTATTTTTCATCTGCTTACACTGCAAATCAGAAAAAAATATAATTGTCCGCTCAAGTTTCTTCACGCTCCGCCTAAAAAAACTGTCTACAAAAAGTAATAATATTATTATTTAACCGCTTGACCGCTCTTACTTTTTTTCATCAAATGTCCGACGAACAAGAAATTAAATTGGTGTGGCCCTATATTTAGTAAACAAACTATATATTATGTTAATAGGTGCATCGATACCTCTTCTAAATTCGCGAATTTCATGGCCCTAGGTCAGGATTTTTTATGTTGGGGGAGTGGGGTTCTAATGATTATACATAATGTATAGTGAAGATGTATTAGATTTTGACAATCTTCTCTGCTCCTGGCCATGGGTTTTTACCAGGAAAACATACAGCATGAAGTAAGTTAGGGTACCTCTTTCCAAATTTCTTTAAATATCTTTTTTTCCTAACAAGGCATGTTAGTGTACAGGGGTCCTTTTGATTTATTAGCGCCAATCTAAATTCTTACTTGATGGATCCTTTGTAGTAGTGTTATGACCAGCCCGGTAATCATTAGGGCCTTTGGGCCTCTTGCTCTCAGCCAAAATTGTGGTAGCGCTGGAACGTGCCACATTTCAAATATGTCTGCAAATGGGCTTGGCGAGTATTTTGTACATTAACTAAACGAGGATACATATAAAACAACAATGCTTCAGCAAAGATCATTAACTTGATGGCAGTCTCTATATTAATAAAGAGATAAGCTTCACATGACAATGAAATGTGTCAGCTGCCATATCCTTTCTTTTAATCCCGCGGGTGATGCATGAAAATCTTGAAAAGATTGTCCTATTAAGTTAAGAAGTTACTCTCAAAAATCATTTTGAACATACCTCAACTGTATTTATTTTTCCAACTAAATTTACATTGCTAAATAAACACACAATGACTCTTTCGGTTCTCCACGACTCCCTAACGCAATCTTCATTCCACAATTGTTGAGGGAGAGCAGAATGTGTCAAATGTTTATGTCTCTTGCTACCAAACAAGCTTATTAAATGCAACTTATCTGTGTCAGGGTCATTCTTCAGACCCCAAATTTATTTTAAAAGGAATTTTCTCTTAGTTCAGTTTAATTAAGTATTCCTTGTTATATCCGCTAGAACTCTTTTTGATCTTTTACATTTTAATGGACAATGATTTTAATTTTGTGTATCTTTTTGTCTGCCGTAAAAGGAAGTTTATTTCTTAATGGCACTGTTAATACAAAGTTGGGGCGGATTCATGGTTTTCTGAAAGACGTGGACGGACAGGCAGTTTATACATTTTTGAAGGTTCCGTATGCCTTGCCTCCTATCGGGTCTCTGAGATTCAGTAAGCCACATCCTGTAATGCCATGGAACGGAGTGCTAGATGCTACTAATCCTGGTCCATCGTGTTATCAAAGAATTAGTCGATCATACAGGAAGTTTTTGCCATCAATGAACGTTTCGGAGGATTGCTTGTATATGAATATATATGTTCCTGTGTCAGTGTCCCCAACAAATAAATTTCCAGTAATGGTGTACATTCATGGAGGAGGATATTCCACGAAATCTGCTAATTTACACGACGGATCTCGAATGTCTGCCAATGGTCACGTGATTGTTATTCTGATAAATTACAGACTAGGAATGTTTGGTTTTCTGAGCACCGAGGACGAGAATGCGCGCGGTAACTATGGACTATGGGATCAAATCGAGGCTCTGAAATGGATCCAGAAAAATATTGGATATTTTGGCGGAGACCCCTCTCATGTGACGGTATTTGGACATTCTGCAGGAGGATACAGCATCGGACTACTACTCCTTTCTAAATATTCCTATGGTTTATTTCACAGAGCAATAGCAATGAGTGGGCTTGGTCTCAACAGACGATCTGTCACTCATGACGCTCGCAACGCGGCTTTTCGTGTAGCAAAGTTTGTAGGATGTTATAACAACACTGTAGAATACAACAGCAACTCTGTAAACGCTTCTTATATTGTATCGTGTTTACGAGGCAAAACACCTACTGAAATCCTGATAGCAACTGGAAAAATGCGAGCCAGTTATCACAAATATGATTTTATAATGAGACCCGGTCCTGTAATTGATGGCGAATTACTCTCGAGTTCACCAGAACGTATTATAAATGATCCAGTATCAGAAGGTTTTAAAACTTTCGTGAGTGCTGACATCATTGCTGGAACCAATGACGAGGATGGATGGCTGTTAAGGTCAAAACTAACAGCCATGCAGAGTACCTACAACTTTAATCTGGATGATGGGGTTTCTTCCTCTGCAATGTGCGATGGGGTTGTAAAGGCCTTAGTTCGCGATTACTTTCACTCCAATCCCATTATTTGGAATGAAATATGCAAAATGTATTTAAAAAACAGTTCAATTCTTGCTCAAGGTCATGCAACTCTTGACATGTATGGTGACATGCTGTACGCCTCTCCCGCAGTGGAAACACTCAGAAAACATCGGTCAGGATTAAAAAGTTTTGGGAAGGCCTTGGAGAAAAAGACGTTCCAGTTTATTTTTACTCATAAACCCACATTTCCAGTCATCACTCGCCGCCGGAAGTGGCTGACAGGTGCACAGCATGGTGATGAGACGTGGTTCATTTTTCGAAATAAAAATTTTAATTACACAAAGGAGGAACAGAAATTAAGTGATGACTTCGTAAAGTATCTGACCAATTTTGCGAAAACGGGGTAAGTATTTCCGCTTGAAATTAAATTTGTCTCGATATTTGTTATCTATGTATTTTTTATTTTAAAATAAGACTATAACACATTTTTCTTATCACAGGGATCCAAACAGTGATAAAACAGATGTCACCTGGCCAGCATTCACGGAGACTGACAGCTATATAACAATTAATGAGAACATGTCGATAGGACAGCATCTGTTCGGGAAAAGAATGACATTCTGGCTAGATACAGTGCCTTCCCTTCTATATGCGTCAACGTCTTCACAGATAACGCTTCATAAATGTTGTTTTATTGTGTCCTTTATCACCATAGTTTATTTTTGTAACAGTTTGAAATGGAATGTGAACATGGTGATATAAATCAGCGGAATGACTTCAGATTAGTATGAAAAAATTGTTGCTTAATAATTCTTTATACATGTATAATAAAAATGTTTTTATAGTGTAATCTTTTAATAATGGACATACATGTAACTTGAGAATAAAGGAACTTTAAGTTTGGAAGCTTATACTAGTATATCAACCAAACTAGCTATCTTTCTTTTCCTGAAAGCATTTTTGCAAAACTTTTCTTATATATTTTTTTTATATTCAAGATCAGCTTTCAGTTCTTTCCGTGACCCAGCTGAACTCTAATTCCTGGGGTCCTAACTTGTTAACACATGAATCAAAGGTTCTTGTTGTCCCCTTGTCTTTGTTTGCATCATTTCTTAATCAATTTTGCATTTCTATTCCTTTAAAAGAAACTTGGAAATTATTTGAAAGGAAAGTTAAGTACCACCCTTGTGTCCCTGGCTTAGGCGAGAAAAATTAAACGGCTGAAAAAAGTTCTTTGTCAGCAAAAACTCCAACAACAAATAACAGAAACAGTGTATAGGAATGTCAAAATAAACCAACATAAGCTGGCCTTGTGTGTTCTCTAAAATCCACGTGAAGAGGATTCAGAACAAAAACCAGAACAAAATGGAAAAAAGATATCCAAAGAAAAGTTCTTTGTCAGCAACAAGTGTGCTCTAATTTCCTAAATTTTGGACCTCATATTCTGTTTTATTTTCAAACGTTGGAATTCTAAATACACTTGTATATATGTACACTATATGCATTATAGTGTGTTTAGAATTACTCACATCTGCGTATAGAATGCTACACTAATATTGCGTTTATCTGTAAGTCCTCAGAACAAGTCATCATGCCCTGACCAACAACTAGTGTGTGATAATCAATCGGTTACCAAATCTTATCAAGCCTGATAAGAAAATCCAAGGCACTTTGACGTCTACAAGCATGGGTCCAACGTGGTTCCTTCTAAGTAATAATTTTACAAATAATTTATTAATACTATAATTCATGCATATTTGTTATATGTTTTTATTTTTTCAATTGTGCATTAAAATTTCCCTATAAATTACAATTAATGTTGGCAATGCTCTTTTATATGTAGGTTTGCTGTTTGGCTTTAGTCAAGGTGAGTAAAGACCGTTCTAAATTTAAAGAAAAATTCATATTTCATATTTATTGTAATTAAGCGTTTATAACTAAAACTAATTCGCGTTTCCATAAACCTTTTAACGACGAAACTATAATTATTGGCAAATGCATTTATAACTTTTCTAAAGTCTAACTTGTAAATAAATTTAAGGTTCGTGTGTCATAAGTCATTAAGTTAGTTTCTTGTTCAAAAGCTGTAATTCAAAATATCCGGTTGGTGGGACCTCCTGGAGTAGCAGGTCAAGGTCGAGTGGAAATCCAGAAGGACGGAATATGGGGCACTGTGTGCGACGACCAGTTCGATATGATGGACGCCAAAGTTGTCTGCAGAATGTTGGGATCAAAGGGGTAAGACATTCCTTTAAGATTTCCTGAGCGAATGGATGGACATGGTGAGGTTAACACTTGAATAAAAAAAGGATGAAGATAATAAACAATGATTGATTGATTGATTATTGACTTTTTAAGCCGATTCGGCAATATTTCAGCCATTTAACAGTGATCGAGCTAAAAAAAAAAAGCCGATAAACAATTTAGGGCGTAAAGACTTACCCCAGAAAATTCCCTGTCGACCGAACACACCCGCTATGTGTGCCTTGTCATGACCGGGCAAACATAAAAATCAACAGGCAGCCCAGTAGGATTAACAAGTTTTTCTTAAAGAATGTATGCTTTTTAGTCTTCCAGCAATCTATTGAAATTCCCATGGGTACCAATTGCGCCCGTTATTAGCAGAACCTTTTTTGTATTCAAATGACACAGAGTTGTCCAAAATCTTATAGGTGAAAAGAAGAAAACACTTGCGGTGGCCTTTAACTCGACATTTAGATATATCGACGACGTATTGTCAATTAACAGTGGTTGTTTGCATTCTTATGTCGAAAAGATATATACGGGTGAGCTTGAGATAAAAGATATCACAGAGTCTGACACATGTTTCATGTTTGGATACCCGGTATTTTACTTGAAAAAGACGTTGATGGTAATCTAACAACCAAGCTTTATGATAAACGTGATGACTTTAACTTTTCAATCAACTTCCCTTACTTATGAAGTAATATACCTTCATCACCTGCATACGGAGTTTATTTCTCTCACTTAATTCGATATGTACAACGATGTGCACTCTGAAAAGGGGAAAATGTATGGCTGGCCCGGGAATCGATCCTGGGACCCTTGCATCCATCGTAAGGTGCCATACAGGAGCTACCCAGGCCAGTATCCCAGGCCCAAACCATTACATTCCCTTACCTTAAATTGTTTTAGCCTTCGAAGTTCATTTCTCCCTTCACCTGCAAGTGAAGGATTTGTTATTTCTATAGAGGAAACGTGTGGCTTCTCCAGGAACAGCCTGGGAAGATAAATGAGATACACAGATATCCACGACCAAAACCACTAAAGACGTCTATAAAAAGCGATCACGATCTTGATTTTTTTCAATAAATGTAAATAAGTACTTTTAAATTCTTTTATCAGGAACGTTCATCAGGCAACGGTAGAGGGAGTCTTCGGCAAAGGAACCGGACGGATCTTCTTTGACGAACTGCAGTGTGTTGGCACTGAAACTGACCTTGATCAATGTCGAAGTGACTCCTTCCACGACTGCTTCCACAGCGAAGACGCTGGTGTCATCTGTGACGCAGGTAGTCACGTGATGTTGCATATAAATGTTCCTTTGGTATACTGTGTCATTAACCAGTCCAAAGGAGTACTTAGTATTATACATCCTTTTTTACAAATGAAATCTGATCATCTTCAGTACGGGTCCTTTCTCTTTCTTTTCATTGTTTTTTGACGGCAGTTTAATTTTTTTTCTCCGGTTTAGAGTTTAGAGATTAATCATGTGAAATCCTATTATTCCACTTTAGATTCTGTAAAATTCCGGTTGGTTGGCGGGTCTGATTCTAGCAGTGGTCGAGTGGAAGTGAACCTGAATGGACTGTGGGGAACTGTCTGTGACGATGAGTTCGACACACGAGCGGCTCAGGTTCTGTGTAAACAACTGGGGCTGCCATAGTACGTGGCATATTTTTCTCCCAACATTCAAAACGCAAAAGCAGCGTTGAATAAATAATACTGTCCTCATATTAACCAGCAACCCATAAGTTATGTTCAAATTCTAAACCAAGTAAAAATAAACAACTTATCTAACTCATCCTGATAAAAATGATAAAGCCTGTAACTAGACCATTTTTAAGCTTTGTTATTTATAAACTAAACGATGAAGTATTTTACACACTTATTTCAGCGCACATGCTTTTCCAAACAATTTCGGCCCAGGAACAGGATCCATATGGCTTGATGACGTCATGTGCATGGGAAGTGAAGGTAACATCTTGGAGTGCAACCAGACAGAAATCGGTAACAATGATTGTGACCACACAGAGGATATCGGCGTCGTCTGCACAGGTAAAATATTATACTTAGCGGTCAGAAATTTCATATCTATTTCAGTGAACAAATAAAATGGACATGCAGTAAAATCACAAATTTTTGCGGGGCTTTAATTTTCGTTGTTTCGATAAAATTTACACTCATGTCCGCCATGAAATATTAAATATTTCATATAAGTTGGTATAACTCCTCAACATTTCTTTTTCAGCGAAATCAAATCCCACCAAACACATTGGTTTTCTTCAAACCAAGAAAATTGACTCTAATGAAAATGCGATTTTACAGTATTTTCACTTGTTATTTATCAGCTTACTATGCATTTTGCCTATCCTAATCTTGTAAATTAAATTATTTTGATAATTTCACGATGTTTTTATCAATTTTCATAGACACCCCACCAAAACTTCAGATCCGGCTTGTGGGTGGAGCCAGGAATGACGAAGGAAGAGTGGAGGTGAACATTGGCGCCGGCTGGGGAACTGTTTGTGATGACGAGTGGGACTCCAACGAAGCAACTGTCGTCTGCCGCATGCTAGGATTCACTGGGTATGTAGCAGACGTCATATCAGTGACACTGAAACTCTATAAATGGGCTACATATAACTGTATCATAAACTTGTATGTCAATAGTTTGTCTCGTTTGAGTACGTAGTTACCATTCATACCTAGCATGTTCTTGCAACTGGAAGACATAAAATTTGATAATTTGATAAGGGTAAATTTCTGAAAGTAAAGGAATGAGACGGTCGATTTGAAATCGTTACGTTTATTATAAAGTTTTGTTGATAGATTACCATGAGGCCTAATTCTAGTGAGATATTCAAATATAACACAGACATTTCATACTCTGTGGTGTGACATTTAATGGTTTTTGAAATGCAATCCATTTAGAATAAATATTACCTATAGATAATATCAATTATCAAGAATAATATTTAAAATGTAGTATAGTACACGTTAAAACAATTTGAATCCAGTGGTATTCCACGAGCAGTAGCACAAGGTTTCTTCGGACAAGGTACTGGAAGTATTTTGATGGATGACGTTAACTGCACGGGGACTGAGAACACTTTGGCGAGCTGTGGTTTTGCCGGTTATGGATCCAATGATTGTGACCATACTGAGGACGCAGGTGTTATTTGTCATGCAGGTGTGTATCATAAAAGGTGCAGCATGGCTATAAAATGACTTAATAGTCCTTGTTTGTCTTTGAGTTGGAATGTACTTTAATTGTGTTCGACTGTGGGTCGATTCAGCTTTGGTAAACTCTCAAACTGAATTATACTGGAAAGCGAAATATACTTTCCCAATGATGCGGGAAAATCTAAAACGCTGCGAGCCATATAACAGAATTATGAAATAAAAGAATACAACACACCTACAATGAAATTGCTTTAAGAAAAGAAAATAATATCTAGATATATACATGTAATAAATCTAATACTTAATTATTTTGATAATCAGAAAATTCACAAGCTCTTAAAGTCCGTCTGGTAGGCGGGGCTAATGAGAAGGAAGGGCGTGTCGAAGTATTCTTCAACAACACGTGGGGTACGGTGTGTGACGACCAGTTTGATGACAGGGAAGCCAAGGTGTTCTGTCGTATGCTGGGATACAAGTACGTGGCTTCTATCTTTATCTTCCAATATGTCAATTTCAAAGAATATGAGTTTTTAGAACTTTTATTATACAATTTAATTAACTATAGCGGTACAGCTGTTGGATTGGCTGAGGCTCACTTTGGACCTGGTACTGGACCAATATTTCTAGACGATGTATCTTGCAGTGGAACTGAAGATACCATCGCGACATGTAGCTTTGCTGGGTATGGACAAAGCGACTGTGACCATACAGAGGACGCAAGCGTAATATGTGACGCAGGTAGAATCAGTTAATATGAATTTTTTGGTTGCAAGACAGATATACATTTATATATGTCGTTCTTCAAAAATTATCCTATACTAGTAAAAACTTTGAGCAGTACGGGATATTCATCGTGCTAACGCTCACTTCACAAGGGACCACAGTTTTACACTCTCCAAAAGACCGGTCTTCACATCCATTAGTGGATGCATGATTTTGTAAACGATCTATTAATATATTTTTATTCGCATCTCTCCTTGGTTACACTAACAGACTTAAGATTTACAACTGACAAACCGGTCACGGTAGCCTAGTGGTAGAGCGTTCGCTTCGTGATCGGGAAGCCCGGATACGATTCTCATTCGCGGCGCCGCGTCAAACCTAAGTCGTAAACATAGGTTGTGACTGTTCCTTCGCTTAGCGCTCGGTACTAGAAGTGAAAGTCAAGGGTCTTTCGGATATGACCTTAAAAACGTAGGTCCCGTATCACGGTAGGCGTGCCTACCCTCACTGCTCAATGGCCCTGAGTGCCGAGTATAGACCTAAATTTGAAGCCCTTCACCGGCAAACAGTGAAGTCTCCATATGAGTGAAAAATTCTCGAGTGGGACGTTAAACTATATACAATCAATCAATTAAAGAAATCTGACAAAGTGGAAATAAATCCGTTTTATTCTTTTTATCATTGTGTCTCAAAATTTTGACACATTTACGGAATGAATTTTACTAAATTCCATTTATGTAACCTTTTCACGTTAAGTTCTTGCCAGAAACCAGTTTAAGTTTTTTTAATATTAGTTTTAAAGACAATCTGAATAATTTAAAAACATCCATTTAGCTTCTTTTACATCATTGTGAAATTGTACTCCTTTTCCGTACTTTGCTTTTATAGGTCACCAAAACATAAGTATCCGGCTTGTGAACGGAAAGGTTCCGAACGAAGGCCGTGTGGAAGTCCTTTACCACGGAGTCTGGGGCACTGTTTGTGACGACCGATTTGACTCAACGAATGCAAAAGTAGTGTGTAGAATGCTTGGATTTCCAACGTACGCCATTATATTTTTTAACTGCATTTTAAGCTTGCCTTTATGCTTATATTACGTTTCTTTCACCTGAACTTTTAGCTTTTAACGTTCAACTTTTTTTTTTTTTTTACAAATTTTGAATACATACATTACTAGTACAGATAGGCATTATATTGTTGACAGAGTTTACACTGACGTGACAGAAGACGGTTTGGACATAACTCGTATGGATAAATATAAAATTGTTTACAGTGGTAACGCTGAAGCAGTGACAGGTGTAGTAAAGATATATATAACATTGTTTACAGAGGTAACGCTGAAGCGGTGACTGGGGGACGGTTTGGAATGGGGACTGGGAAGATATGGCTGGACAATGTAGACTGTAACGGAGGGGAGAACTCTATCGCCCAGTGTCGTCATCAGGTGTGGGGCTCCAACAACTGCGACCATGACGAGGACGTGGGAGTTCGTTGTGGAAGTAAGAACAGTGATACTCAACCATTTCCTTGCAGTTCAAATCAATTAAAGGGGCATGGACACAGTTTCCACTGAATTTTTAAAACCAATTTAATGTTTACAATTCCCAACTAAGGCATCATCTAATGATCAGCAAATATTTGAACATCATTTTTGTTGATTAACAAACTAGATACAGAACTTAACATAACAAAGTTTGGAGCTCTAAATCTGTCTTGTATGTCGACAACCAGGACAACTGAAGTTCAAATTTTTGATGATTATTAGAAAGACCTTTGTTAAATATTTGTAAAACTGGAAAAAATAAATTTGAAAATTTTTAGCTGAAACTGTGTCCATGCCCCTTTAAGATAACCTTCTCAAAATCTAAAACATGTAACTGTCGGTGATCAGCAGTCTAAGTACATTGATACATATATTGCATATATTAAGGTTTATAGCGTCAAGAATTTTTTTTTCAATTTTCACAAAGGTGTCTTGAGATCGTTTTATTACATATGTACCTGTTGGTGTTACATAGGTACAATAGAGAGCCCTGTTCGTCTTGCTGGTGGCTCTACACCTTATGAAGGGCGTTTAGAGGTTTTCCATGAAGGCAGATGGGGTACAGTGTGCAACAATGGTTTTGATAAAACCGCAGCCAAAATAATTTGCAACAGTATTGGATATCCCAGGTTTTGAATTTATTGATATACCGGTATAAGAAGATTTATATACACAGAAGCTATCAACATCCCGCGAATAGAATCGTTATGAAAGTGCTTTTCGAGAACCTGTAGTTAGTAATTATGATTTAAAGGAGAGAAAAAATTTGTAAGCTAAATTTGATCAAATTTAATTTTGAGGTTTGAAAGTTAATCATACGAGTATGTTTGAAAGTTCATTATGATATAGAATGTTGCATTCTGTTTATATTTTCATATATTGCTTTTAAATAGTCTTTGTTGACCAGGAATCTATTTGATGTATTTTAGTGACAACCCCACACTTATGCAGGCGACAAACTTCGGAGTGCCTCCTGCCACGGTGTGGTTAGATGGGGTGAGATGTATGGGTAACGAGACGTCTATTGATGTCTGTACACACAACAGGTTTGGTCTGACTTCCTGTAGCCATGACAAGGATGTCGCCATCATGTGTAGAGGTGAGGTGGTATACCCTATCGAACACCATTAATACTTCCAGCAGGAAGAAGCCGCCATTGTCCCATTTTATATCAAAGCTCGTTATGTTGAAATATATTTTTATAGATTTCAACTTCATTGAAGACCGAGTCCAATTTTTTTTTATATCTATTGTCTCTTTTTCAGTCATCATATAATTGTCCAATTTTATATCAAAGCTCGTTACGTTAAAATATCTTTTTTACAGATTTCAGCTTCATTCAAGACTGAGTCCATTTTTAAAAAATATTTATATATTGTATTTTTTCTCAAATTTGAATATCCTTTAATCTTTTATTTAGCTCATGGTATAAAATGTTACCATTGTGACGGTGTACAAGACCCAGTGACCTGTAACGAAGAAATGCAGTGTTCGGCAGGAGAAGTGAGTTTTATTGTGCTGTCAGATGTAATACTATATAAATATTGCATGTAGTTCAATGTAACATTGAAAATTTTCACCCTAAGAAAATCACTGTCAACCGAGGTGCAGAATGGTTTTCGAGGGGTGAAAATTTTCAATGTTACACTCAACTACATGCTTTATTATTATATTATACTGAATGTTTTATACAAATACATATAACAGTGAATTCTGCGCATTCGCTTTTTTTGGAATATCACCCGTCGTCAAGCACTATTGACTGTTGCTACGCTGGAGGGCGTGGCTTCATTATTCAGTGGGTAATAGTTTTTAACAAATGTTTCTTGACCAATCAGATTCAACTAATTTACATGAAAGTATAATATAATAAACTATTACATTTACTATTTTTACATATTATAAATATATACAAGATTTCAAATAAATTGAGAACACTTTCATTGCCTGAGTACAAATATGTATAATCTTTAATTTCATGTAAAAAACATAACCTGTTTGGTTAGGAAAGTTAATTTAGTCAATGATAAGAATTTCTAAGATATCAAAATATCAACTGTAATCTTTCTCACTAAGATATTGACAGTTGTGAAGGAAAAACTTCAAAAGTACTGTGCAAGAATATATTCAAGCAGTAGCGTAGATCAGATGTGGATATTCAAAAATTCCAAAGAACTTTTGGACAATTTGAAATCACAAGATTTTACCAAAATCAACAGCTTAAAAACTTCGACTTTTCAACTTTATACATAACCATTTCCCACCATGAATTAAAGTCCAGGATTTTTGATATTATTGACAGCTGCTTTTTCAATAAAAATGGAATTCGTAATTTTACTTACGTGGTCATTGGTCATTTGCAAAATGATTTTGTTAAAACACATTTTTATTACACACACAAGTATTCTGAAGTTGATATCAAAAAGATGCTTGAGTTTCTGATTCACAATATCTATGTGGTATTCGGTGACCAGATCTTCCAACAATATTAGCAGGCCTATTTTTGTATTCATACGATGCGGATTTTGTGCAAAATCTTATGCATGAAAATAAAAAACTTGCTGTGGCTTCAATTCGACATTTAGATATCCGACACATCTGTTTCATACTTGGATATTTTACTTGAAAAAGACATTAATGGTAATCTAACAACCAAGCTAGATATGATTCACGTGATGACTTCAACTTTTCTATCGTCAACTTCCCTAAACTATGGAGCAATATACCTTCATCACCTGCATACGGCATTTATATATCTCAGTTGATTCGATACGCAAGAGCATGCTCTACGTATGAGGAATTTCTAAAACGAGGTAAATCATTGACAAACAAGTTGGTGAAACAAGAATATCAGCAGTCTCGTTCAGAGTCATCATTGCGTAAGTACTTTGGTCGATACAATGACCTTGTCAGCAAATACAATTTATCACCGAGTCAAATGCTGACTGACATTTTTCAGACTATTTGATAGTTCATTATTTATACACTGAATTGACGACGGATTTTTCCGTTATTTCCCGGTCATGACAAGGAGCACACGGAGCAGGGGATGCTCACTTCTCCATGGCACCTGATCCCACCTCTGATGTTCTAGAGATCCGTGTTTGCTCTGCTCCTAATTTGCATTGTTTTATGAACTTTGATAATGAATACTGTTTTCCATATCCTTCATTCTTTACGAAATTTTCAAAAAATCTTAGTTTCCGTGAGGTACAAATGTGCGGTTATAATGATAATGTTTCCGACAGAAAAAAAAGAGAAAGGTTTGGTGCTATATTTTTTTATATCTGGTATATAAATTAACAAATATATCCACATGATGATTTCTAAAAGGAATTGATGTAATGCTCGGATGCATTGTCCCTGCTCTTATTTGTTGAGATTTTGCTTAGATATGTGAAGAGGCGGCATTCATCGCCAACGGAGAGACAAGATTCTCACTCACCTGCCAAAGCAAATTGGTAAGTGGGTTCCAAGACGATAAAAGATCTGTTCATACATGTATTTCAAATATTTAGTGAATTATATTTGAATTAATTTGCAAATCTTTTTGTTTTAACAGGTAAAGCTTCTAGGTGATTGAAAAACGTTTATATATTCACACATATATATATATATATATATATATATATATTTTTTTTTTTTTTACAAATCTGGATCTTGTTTTCGATACTAGGTGTGTGACGCGTTACAAGGAAATGCGATTGGTCGTCGGGACGTTGTTAAGAGGCAGGGTCAGACAGTGCAGGTCAAATGCTGTGACACGCCCCTTTGTAACCGTGACCTCATAGATAAGTCTTCAGTCCACGGCGGGCATGGCCACGGCCACCCTACCACCGGTTGGTTTACATTTACGGAATTATTTTTTCATATAGCTTATTCTTCATTCTTATGAATACCATTTTCCTTTATCAGAACCTGAACCTGAACTGGTCAAAACCGGGGTTTCAGTCAGCTGTATGAATGAATTATTAAAGCAATATGAACTGCATGTTTGACATGGGAAAAATTTGTAGCAAATTTGTAATTAACTATTTAAATGGAAGAAAATTAGAATATTTTTAAACTTCTGTTCTTCATATTTGCGATGGAAGAGTTTTTTATAAGCTTTGATTGAACCAAAATTACATTATTATCGTCCTGTACAATATTGATTTCTTATTGTTATGGGCCAGAATTACCCGAAATGCCAGCAAAGATCAATAACACAATTTAAACTTAATAATTTATTTACAGTAATATATAATAAGTATATGAAACATAAAGTACAAACTTAGCAAGAATCTAAAAATACATACATCAGAGTGTCCGTTTCTGCACACAATGTCCCAGTGAAAATATATATCCCAGTTATATCTCAATAGTGCTTATACGACAAAGTATCTTTATGCATCGAATTGACAGGGTATTTATACAGTATCATAAATCTAGAATATTCTAGAAATTGTTAAAACATGATATTACTGGAACAATCTGGACATACACAAAATTTAAGAATGTTCTAGATCAAATGACCGAACATGTTGACCACTCTGGAATGTTCAAGAAACTAAATGTTACTAATTATATACATAATGAAATAATACACATCTCACAACACCTCCCCCCTTAAAAAGTTTGAATGTCAATGAAAACTTATATTATTAAAATAAAATTTATGTACATTAATACAAAATCTAATTTGTTCATCATACTCTGGACAAGGCATCTGCAATAACATTGTCTTTGCCTTTGATATGCTTAATTGTTATGTTGTATTCCTGTAACAACAAACTCCATCTAGTCAGTCTTTGATTCTTGTTTGACAATTTATGCAAAAATGTCAGGGGGTTGTGATCCGTATATACAAGAATTGGATGCAATGTAACATTCAGATAAACATCAAAAATGCTGTAAGGCTAACAACAAAGCAAGGCATTCCTTTTCAATGGTGGAATACTTTTGTTGACATTTTGTAAGTTTCTTTGAAAAATAAGAAACAACTCTATCTACCTTATCACTATGTTCTTGAAACAAAGCTGCCCCGATTCCAACATCACTAGCGTCAACAGTAAGCTTAAATTGCTTAGAAAAATCTGGAGTTGACAGAACTGGATTACTCATAAGGACAGATTTGATTTTATGAAAGGATTTTTCACAGTCCTTTGTCCATTCAAATTTAACCCTCTTTTGTAAAAGATTTGTAAGTGGACTAACTACTGAGGAAAAATTTGGACAAAATTTTCTGTAAAACCCAGCCATGCCCAAAAACCTCATTAATTCTTTCTTGTTTGTAGGAATCGGGAACTTTGCAATAGCTTCCACTTTAGCCATTATGGGTGTAACATAACCTTGACCTACTTTATGACCTAAATACTCTACATAAGCATGACAAAATTCACTCTTTTCAAGGTTCACAGTTAAATTTGCTTTAGCTAAAATGTCAAATAAAGCACGCATGATTCGGAGATGTTCATCCCATGTGTTGCTGTATATGACGACATCATCAATGTAGGCCTCGCATCCCTCAAGATCATGGAGAAGGAAGTGAATCATCCTTTGGAATGTAGCCGGTGCGTTTTTCATGCCAAAAGGCATTACTTTATACTGGTAAAGTCCATCTGGTGTAGCAAAAGCAGATATTTCTTTTGCTCTTTCTGTTAACGGTACTTGCCAGTAGCCTTTCAACAGGTCAAATTTACTGACAAATTTCGCATTTCCAATGTTGTCAATACAGTCATCGATTCTAGGTATTGGATATGAATCAGTTTTGGTAACAGAATTCACCTTTCTAAAGTCTGTACATAATCGGTAAGAACCGTCCTGTTTTGGTACAAGAATACACGGTGAGCTCCAATCACTTTTACTAGGTTCAACAATGTCATTGTCCAACATGTACTGCACTTCCCTTCTTAGGTACTGCAATTTTATTGGATTCAGACGATACGGATGTTGTTTGATAGGCAGAACGTCACTCACTATGACATCATGACAAGCTGCATTAGTTTTCTTTGGAACTTCCGAAAAGATTTGACGATACTCATTCATCAAGTTTTTAACTTGTTCTTTTTGGTGAATGTTCAAATGTCCAAGTTTGGCATCAAAATCAGCCAAATTTTCGGAGTTTTTCAAGCGGACACTATGATTACAATCTTTCTCATTCATTTCTACACTCGTATCACTTTCAATACAATTTTGAACAGTCTTAGGATTGGCTAAAGTGGAAACTGGTTTTACAGAATTTCGGTCACACCTTTCAAAATACTCTTTTAACATGTTAATGTGACAAACCCGTTTCTCTTTACGTCGACCTGGTGTCTTAACTACATAGTTTACATCACTGATCTTGCTTTCAATTTCATAAGGGCCATAAAATCTGGCCTGTAAAGGATGACCAGGAATAGGTAAAAATACAAGAACCTTATCACCTGGCTTAAACACCCTATTTCTGGCATCTTTGTCATACCACATTTTCATTTTCATCTGAGAACTCTTCAAATTTTCTTGTGCTAATTTACAAGCATTGTAAAGTTTTTCTTTGAAATCAGACACATAATCTAAAAGATTAAGATCACTAGTCTCAGTCAGCCACTTTTCCTTCAACAATTTCAAAGGACCTCTAACTGTATGACCGAACACCAATTCAAAAGGACTGAACCCAAGAGACTCCTGGACTGCTTCTCGTGCAGCAAATAGCACAAGATGAACCCCTTCATCCCAGTCTTTCTCATACTGATAACAATAGGTCTTCAGCATTGTTTTTAAGGTCTGGTGAAAACGTTATATCACCCCCTGGAACTCAGGATGATAAGCAGTTGATCTATATTGCCTTATACCCAACTCATGCATGACTTGCTGGAACAACCCCGACATAAAATTTGAGCCTTGATCCGACTGAATTGCCTTGGGTGCTCCTACAAAACTGAAAAACTTGGTTAGGGCCTTAACTACGCTCTTTGCCTTTATATTCCTAAGAGGTATGGCTTCAGGAAATCGAGTGGATGTACACATAATGGTAAGTAAATACTGGTTCCCAGATCTAGTCCTAGGCAAAGGTCCTACACAATCCACCAACACTCGACTAAACGGTTCTTCAAAAGCTGGAATTGGTTGGAGAGGGGCGGATGGTATCTTATGATTCGGTTTACCTACCATCTGACAAACATGACATGACTTGCAAAACTTCGAAACATCCTTTCTTAGCTTAGGCCAATAAAAATGACTCAATATCCTATTATAAGTCTTACTGATACCTAAATGACCAGCCATAGGTGTATCGTGAGCTAAACTCATGACATCTCGACGATAAGCAACTGGGACCACTATCTGGTGAACAACACGCCACACTTCATCTGGAGAGGCGTCAGGTGGTCGCCATTTTCGCATAAGGATGCCATCTTTCATATAGAAGCATTCTCCAACTTTAGTAGCCTCTTCTGGTGGAAGTGCCCTCTTACTAAGTTGAATGATATCTGGGTCTTTATGTTGTGCTGAAAGTAACTGCTCTCGGCTTAGGATATCCTTGCCTTGGCTAACTAATGGATGCAACTCATCATCCTCACCACCAAATTTTGGTAAAAGTTCTTTCTTCTCTTGCTTCTTGATATTGTGTGGTTCCATAATTGTTTGAGTGCCATCAAGGTCAGATAAGAAAGTGTCATTCAAATCAATATCAACAGAGGAATTCGTCTCGTTAAAGGCTTGAGTATGGTCTGCCTCAATTTCTCGTCTTCTGGCCATCGCTCTAGTAACAGCACAGGCTGGATAAATGTCATCATCTTCATCATAACACATGACATCTGGATTGATCTTCTCACAAACTATAGGATCTGGTACAACTTTTCCACCAGCTAGATCGTTGCCTAACAACAAAGAAATGCCTGGAACGGGAAGAGTAGGTCGAACACCTACGATAACAGGTCCAGTAACTAAATCTGACTTCAAACTAATTCTATGCAGGGGAACATCAATGACGCCTAGCTCCACACCCTGTAATAAAACTGACCCACCAGTAGAAGTCTGCTCAGACAAAGGAAGCACGCCCTCTAACAATAACGTCTGTGCAGCACCAGTATCTCTCAAAATCTGGACAGGTTTTATTTCGCTAGAGTCATCGAGTGAAACAAATCCCTGAGACATAAAGGGCTTATAATCCTCCATAGAATCAATAGAACTGGACTGTGAACCCTGGACATCAGGAGTGTCAGAACAAATCGAAACTAAGGCTTCTCTATCACCTCTAACTGCCGCACAAGCATGTGGTTGAGTTTTATCAAAATCATTTTTTCTCTTAAGTTTAAAGCATTCACTGATCAGATGACCCTTTTTCTTACAATAACTACAAGTAGGAAGCGACCCTATTCCAGAGGATCCTTCAACACGTCCTGGACCGGACTTAAAACCACCTTGGGATGGAGACTGGGTACTTGTAAAAGACTGAGACCCTGAACCACTCTTTTTATATGTGTCTGAATTGGTAGAATTACTGCTAGTCTGAGATCTTGATACAAAATTCTTTTTATGAGACAGAGCATAAGTATCAGATATGACTGCTGCCTCTTCAAGAGTTTTCACATTCTTATCTTCTAAATGTGTTTTCAAATCTTGAGGAACACATTCCTTAAACTCTTCTACCAGGATGACTTGGCGCAAATTAGCAAAAGTTTTATCAAGTTTCTTAGATCTAAACCAATGATCGAATAAATCTTCTTTCTCTCGTGAAAATTCAACAAATGTTTGATTATCAAACTTTCTATACTTTCTGAACTTTTGTCTATATGCTTCAGGTACTAATTCATATGCTTTTAATATTGATGCTTTGACCTTCTCATAGTCTGAACTTTCAGCTACCCCTAGTGCAGAGTATACCTCAGCTGCTTTGCCAACCAGTACACTTTGTAACATTGTTGACCAAACGTGTTGTGGCCATTTAAGATTCTTTGCGACTTTTTCGAATTGGGGAAAATATTTGTCTACAGATTTTTCTTGAAATTTTGGAACTAACCTAATATTTTTTGCTGCGTCAAATTCAGTTTTGACAACTGACGGTTCTGGTTGGTGCTGTAATCTTAATTTCTCTAATTCAAAGTGCTCTTGTCTTTCTAATTTGTCTAATTCAAATTTTCGTTCACGCTCTCGTTCTTCTCTTTCTCTTTCTCGCTCTTCTCTTTCTAATTTTTCTCTTTCAAGTCGCATTTTCTCTAACTCTAATTGAAACTGATAGTCTGCCATTTTATAAGAGCCTAACTCTGATTTAACTGTATATTCTGGAAGATCGTATTTTTCAAAGATGTTTTCTTCTACTAGTTTGTTTGCAACCTTAATTCTAATGTCTTGCTTTCTCTGAGAGGATTTAACATCTAACCCAAAATGCAAACCTAATGCGATCAAGTCATCCTTTTTTAACGTATCAAAAACCTGAACACTTGGTGAACTAAGAAAGTCTGTGACCGAAAACACCATGTTGATTTCTGCTGGCTTATAATCAAATTTTAACGGTTCAATAAACAAAATTCTGACAATAAACTGCAAAAGTGCAAGAAATTCTTTATCCCGGACGAGCCCCCAATTCTGTTATGGGCCAGAATTACCCGAAATGCCAGCAAAGATCAATAACACAATTTAAACTTAACAATAATTTATTTACAGTAATATATAATAAGTATATGAAACATAAAGTACAAACTTAGCAAGAATCTAAAAATACATACATCAGAGTGTCCGTTTCTGCACACAATGTCCCAGTGAAAATATATATCCCAGTTATATCTCAATAGTGCTTATACGACAAAGTATCTTTATGCATCGAATTGACAGGGTATTTATACAGTATCATAAATCTAGAATATTCTAGAAATTGTTAAAACATGATATTACTAGAACAATCTGGACATACACAAAATTTAAGAATGTTCTATATCAAATGACCGAACATGTTGACCACTCTGGAATGTTCAAGAAACTAAATGTTACTAATTATATACATAATGAAATAATACACATCTCACAACATTATATAATACTATATGTTTGATTGTACAGAAATATTTCGGATGAAACATTTCAAAACTTTATTTCTGTCCTATTGATCATAAGGGTTTAAATTCAATAAAAATTCATCATTATAACACATTTTGCCATCAAAATAAATTTCTCAAAAATGCAGCTCATATTACTTTAAGTAATAGCTTTTACCATTAATGAATATGAAATAACAATGACACATAGTCTAACAATATAATAACTAAGTAATTTAGCTTTCTATGACTTTCTATAAATATTACATAATAAGAATTTTATATTTTATTTTTTTGCATAAAATTTTATTCACAAATAAAAGTGAATGGGATCTGGCAGCAGGCATAGCCTATTTTAGCCCTCTTCCTACATTTATATTTATTTGCTAATGATGCATTGCTGAAAGAAAATTGTGTTTACGAAGGTAATGTAATATTTTTCCTGCAATGTTAGCAACCTTTCTTTATTCTCAACAGGAAAAATGAAAAACTTCACTTGCGATGCATTAAGCTTCTCAATGCTTACAAAAAACGATCAATGCAAAATAAAAAAAAAATAGCAATTCACTACATATGGGTTAAGGAATCCTTGTCATTATAAACATTATGTGAAATTGTTTAAGGTCAAATCAAACCTTTTTCCTTTTTGTGCTTATTCATAATGATATATTTCTCATTATTCTCCCTGATTAAGAGACTCAGTCAAACTTTATTATTTAAATATTCAGGTTGTCAAGATGACCCTAAGATGGACTGTAATGCATTGGACGGTATCAACATATGCGCCAATGTCCAAGCGGCCAAAATCTACTGCCCACTTCACTGTGGCCTTTGTACTAGACGCTAGGGTCAAAATCAACAACAGAGGTAGCAGGGATAAAGGCACTGCCTTCATTATAATTTTTTGTATGTTGTATTATGTATATGTTAAATAAATATATTTTCGAACTCAAAGCCTGTGCTCTTGGTGACTCGGTGTTTTTAAGTTTACTACGTAATCTTATGATTTAGAAGTAATAAAAACCTCAGAATGTTAATTTATTCAACCATGGTGTATTAGGCAAAAGAAAATGGGTGTATTATTAATTTTAATTCGTGCTTGCAAGATGGCATCAGATTTACTTTCATTCAACTTTGATTTGTATATGCATCGGATTTTCTGTGGGAAAAAAATATTTCTTTAAATTTTAAAGAACGCATACTTTTTCAGATTATTATTATTATTTCTATGTATTCATCATAATAATTAAGAAATCAACATTCTATATATACGTAGATATATTTTGAATCTACAAACACAAGCAAGGTCCTCAACCGATGTGTCATAAAGTTAAACTGCAAATAGATTAAGGATTCATTTTTATTTTTAGAAAGCAATCATCTATCTTGATATCAGACCAGTTCCCTAGAGAATATAAATATTATGTATGACGTGATATTTTCTTGAATGGAATTAAATAAATTTAAAATGACTGAATTCAGGAACTGGAACAACCCTGTCACGCAGAAATAAAATTGCAACCCGATGGTGTAGAAAGTGGATTTAAATGCCCTTACAAACAATGAAAGAGTGTCGCTCTTGTGCACCTGATTGCTTACACGAGTTTGACGTCAAAATGATTGTCGATACATATATATTTATGTTTTTGTTCATATCCAGTTATATATGCAGATAAGAACTTGAAAGCGAAGGTGCAAACATGTAAGTGAATTTCAGTTTAAACATTAGTTTTCGTAAAAGTTGTTTTGACTTACATTAAAGTTTAACTTTAAAAGGGGAAATATCATGAATTTGGAAATCATTCATTCACAGAATTTTTTTAAAAAATTCTAAACTAACGAATTGTTATATTTTATATGATATATACTGTATTCGAACGTAATTTTATGATATAAGGGAGGGAAAAATCAATCAAAAACAAATATTTTCGCGTCTTTTTAACAAATAAATCTTTGTTTCATTTCAAACAGAGTCATGCCGGACCCAACAGAACCTTTAAGAGGACCCGTTTATGGTACAGGACCTGATTACAGGGTCCACCAGCCAGCTTTCTACTCCTATACACCCAAGACCTACGACAGAGTCCATCACTACAACAAAGCCCATGAACCTCTCAGAGTTCATACATACGACAGTTACCATACATACGACAAAATACGAACGTACAATGATGTACAGGAATATAAAGTGAAGGAATACAAGCCGAACTTTTACACAGCACCAAAGCCTCCTCCGCGCGTCCCCACGCCCCTTCCCACGGTAAAAAGAAGACCGAAGACTCCCGACTATCAGTGGGCCCAATTATACGTGTGTTACGAGGAGCCACTGGGACCGCACATTCCTGTTACGGAGTATGAAAATCATGAATATAGAGGACGGGAATACAAGCCTATTGTAAATGAGTATAGGCCTCTGAAAATTGATAATTTATCTAAACGACCTGTTCTTTATCAGGGAAATGTAGAATATAAATTAACAAAGGAAAATTACTATCCATTCAGGAAGAGGAAAGACATTCAAAAGATTGAACAACCAGCGAAAAAACAAAAAGTCACCAAACAAAAGGAGAAATCTGTTGCAAGTTTGAAGGAAGTCAAATTGAAAGAGGATGACAATAACGCTGAGCATTTCGAAGAGGGAGAAGAAAAGATAAATCCAGTTCAACAACGGAAGAGCCCGGAAATACTTCCAGAAGCATTGCCAATACGGGATGATACTCCTCCGCATCCACTTCCTGTTGTTTCAGAACAAGAAAGGGAGAAAACTCCAGAAAAAGAGAAAACATTCATAAACGAAGCAGAGAGGAACGGAATTGCAGTCGGTACCACTGTGTTGATGGTTTCAGCGGCCACGGGGACGGATGATTTAAAACGTAAAAAGCGGTGCTCAAGATGGACACAAACAACGCCTGTTTCTAGTCCTGAACCTTCGATTCGTGAAATGACTCCAGTGGAAATAGTCCCTAAAACTGTCATTGTTGGTGTTCCGAATAAAAGAGCCGAAACGCCGTTAAAACCGTTAAAACAATCGACACCAGAACCACTTCCACAACCAGAAGAGAAACCAGAACCTGAACATATTCAGAAAGACCCACAATTACCTCCATATAATGTTGTCGCACCTGCTGCTGTAGTCGTTGATTACAAAAGGCGGAGAACGCCGACACCTCCATCCAGAAGATCACGACGCAAGTCATCGTCGCCTCGAGCTAAGAGTAGAACCCCTTCTCCGAAGAGCCGATCTCCCTCACCAAGACGTTATTATAGAAACTCTCCTGGAATTCTGCCTATGGCGGGTTTTGCCGCAGGTGCTGTCGTCAGTGGAACAGTTGTAGCTCCGTTGAAAAAACGCACACCTACCCCAGATCCACCATTGCCCCATACGAAAAACAAAACACCAAGTCCTAAACCAGAATCTACTAAGCCAGACGGTATCCCAGCTGCTGCAGTCGTTGTGAGTGGAACTGTGATACATGACAATAAATCAAATCAAGACAATGTGAAATCTCCCTCACCAAGCTCACCAGACAAGAAGTCTCCATCTCCCGTAAATAGATCGCCTACTCCTGCTCAAAAGTCCCCGGATATAAATGTTGTACCTATAATTCCTCTCGCAGCTGCATCGTTGGATAAAGAACCGACACCTAACCCTTCTCCAAAACCACCAAAGGAGAAGACACCGTCTCCCAGTACACCACGAGATGACCGTGATAACGCTCCTATTGTACCTTTGGCAGTTTCAAAAGACGATCAACCAAATCAACCATCTCCGGTAAAATCCCAAACCCCTTCGCCGTCTCCTTCAGTTTCTCTACAATCTCTAGGCAAGGAGAGAACATCCTCACCTAGTCCTACTCCGTCAGAGGTCGTTCCTGTTGCAGCAGTTACAACAACGGTGTTGCCTAAAGAAGACAAGAAATATGTATCCGATAATCCAGTTTCAAATCCTCCTGTTTCACCCGTCAGTCCAAAGAGAGAGGCAAGCCCAACACCACCTAAAGTGTCAACACCTACAGAGGATGCAAGTACGGAAAATGACGGAACCTCAGCGGGAGGCTCACGACGAGGCCTGCCACCGGAAGTGATAGCTGCGTTAGAAGCGTACGATAGTGCGCATAAAAACGGATTTGATAAACAGGTAGCGGAAAGTAATCTAACTTTTGCTTTGTCAGCTTCTAGATCTCCAAATCTTCCACCAGAAGTTCTAGTCAGTATAGAAGCATATGTTAAAATGCGTAGACGCTAAACGATTTAGTTTAATGATGGGGACTTAATATGCTTCTGTTTGCATTTTTTTTGCCTTATGTTTTAACAATGTTTGCTTTTAGAATAAACTTTGCTTATCTTATCGAAACATCATATCATTTATATTTCATCGTTTCTATAATAACAATATAATCACACTTGCACTTAAAAATAGTTTTAGAATTGCTTTGCATGTATACAATAAATACTGAGTATAGTGTAAAATTAAAATGCACAGAAATAGTTTAAAAATTAATCTCAGAATTTTTATGGCAATTAATAACAAATATTAGATATTGGAGATATTTTCTTGAGGACTATGCATGCAAAAAGCTCTACCAACTTCTTTTTTTTTCTATTTCTCATATTTATCATGTTTCTGTAGCTAAAAAAGCCGATTTAAAAATAAGAAAATTAGGGGGGATGCTTATTTATAAAGAAGTTAATATATACCTCTTCAATGAAACTGATGGTTTTTTTTTTTTAAATTAAAATAAATAGTGAGAATATACATGTGCATAAACGATTTAAAAAAAAGAATCAAATATGTCGAAGTTTTTTTAAAATTAGAAATGACATAGCTTAGATTTCCGTTTGCATTTCTTTTACATAAAAAAAGAAATAATCATTGATGAAAATGTCCAGTAAAAAAGCTATAAATAGTATATAAGAATTTTTCTTGACACTGATATCATGATCACCTTTCCTGTTTTACAAATAAGGTGTAGTATTCTCATCACTTTTATATAAATTAAAAAATTTAAAGGATCAGTACGCAATAATACTTGTGACTTGTCGAAAATATCTATTTCGATCATACATTCAGCGAGAACAGAGTATGATTGAACATTTATCCGGGTGAACGTATCGCATTACATTGTGTCTGTTATTAATGAACAGCTGGTCGGGGACACGGGCAGTTTTACTTGGACATCTCTCTTGTTTGTAGAATCAATTATTTCGTCATTCAATCAATACGCAGGATAAACATTGCTTTGTTCTACATACAGAAAAAACTGTCTAATCCGATGTCCTGTGGACTGTTCAGTCCGACACCCTGTCTATTCCGACACAAAATTCGCATCCCTGTGCATATCAGAGTAGATGGTAAAACTGTATTTAGAGTTTAACTTTTGTGCTGAGGAATTCCCTCGCTTTCATGCATCGATAAGACAGCATTTGAATCACACCTCCAGGATTTATTTTTTAAACGTTTTTCAAAGTGCTTACTATCAAAAATCACTGAAATGCATTACTGATACAAAAAATACTGTTTTACCAGTACCGTCATTTGAAACTCAAGAACAGCTCATTTCATATTATATCAAAATATTTTCCAAGCGTTGCTTTGCATCCAACAATTTTAGACCATCGGTCACTGGTACCTAAGGTCACATATTTTTCTTATAAAAATATCCCACATCCTATAGGCAACTAACTTTACATATTTTTTTCTAATAAAAGAAATGATAACCCATACCTTATAATACGTACATTAATACTAATTTTTATATGTTATTATTTATAAAGAAAAAATATGTAACGTCTGATGCCCACGGTTCTCTAAAAATCATGGTCCCTTGGCACGTTACATGTTGGCACGTTAAAGATCTCTCATTGCTAGTACCACAACGCCAATTATGGCAAAATTCTAAAGTAGACTGACATCTCTTCATAAGTGAAATAATCACTTACAATAAATAAGTGAAAAGACGTTCGATCACGAAATACAATCAATCAATCAAGCTTAAAATATCAAATCTTTATCATATCAAGCCATGTTAACATTTTAAATTATTATTATTACGTATACTAACCTTTGAAAGTGAGGACTGAAATCGGATAGTGCATACCTCAATTTCTTCTTTAAGTTGCAAGCCTTTTTCATCCTAGAACACAGTCAGAATCCTAAAAAACAATTGAAAATGCAATGGACAATTTAAAAACATTACTCCATGGTGATCATCTCTCATTAGAGTGTTAATAACACCAATTCCTGACACGCAAAAAAAACTCCAACCTATACATGATATAAAATGAATTAATGGAGTGAAATGTGGAGATAACGAAGAATATTCAAGCTAAAATATCCACCATATTCACGTGCTTTTTTCATATAACAATGTATTTACTAGTGGTTTGTTGTTTGTAAAATAGAACCGATGAAATAACCAGATATCCCAGTGTTAATACTTACACTAATGACTTCTACAGAAAACAGCACTTAGGTAGTTATCATGGATCACCAAGTCAAAATCCCAGAATCGATTACTTATAGTCTGGTAAAAATATGTTAATTTAGGCATAAATTACTAATATGTTAGTAGACAATTTTCAAAAGTCTTCAAATGATACATTTTTACATAGATAAAGATTATAACAGCTTTGCTAAATGACATTTTTTTTTACTTGTATGATTTTTGAATTACAAATGATTTCAATATCAAAGCATATTTTTACTGTTGGAAAATGACGTTATATTTGAAGATTTTGTACATGAAATATAAATTTGATTTTATTCTTAATTATATTTAAATATTTTCTAAATTAATTAGTTATGTACAAGAAATTAATTGTTAAAGCCCATTTATGTGTCTTTGTAGCTTGGACTAAATGCTGTAAACACAATCAAAAGGACAATGGCACTAACTGGCTGAAAAAATTCAAAAGACATACATTAAAGGACCTTCTACCGATGAGGAAATTTGGAATAAAACATGTTGTCAACTTTTTTGATTATAGAAAGAAAAAAAATACATGTACACAATATTTAGTTCATATGCTGATTTAATAATATACAGTTATTGATTGTCAACATTTTTTGATTACAGAAAAAAATATATGTACACACATCAATTACTATATATGGAAAATTATGGATTAATCAGTAAATATAAAACAATAGCTGAGAAAGAACAAAATTAATAATATTTTTATTATATCATAAAAATTACTTTATGATACGCTATTTTTCGATTTCGATGATAATTACTTGTGATATTTGATCAAACCTTATGTTAAGGATTGAAATTTATAAAACATTTGTTTTTTTCTTTTTATTAGTAATAAATATATGTATTAAGGATTGTATATCATGGAAATAACATACACTTCATTTTCATCCATTTGATTTAATAGGCAATGGCAAGTTCTAATGCTTATTTATAGATCAATTGTATTTTGTTTATGGTAATTTTCACCCAGTTGATTTAATAGGCAATAGCAAGTTATGCTTGCAAGTTCTTAATTGAGACAGGATAGTTACAATTCCTTTTATAGTTCAAAGATATCATCAATCTCGTTTAAAATCAACAGACTGTCGATTCTCTAACGTATTCAGTAACTTTTCATTTGGTACCTGTAGCGATACAGAATCGAATAGGACTATTTTTATTCAAATATTTCAATTTATTCCAGACATAAACGTAAAGGGAAAAGTGCTTTATAAAATACTAATTTAGTTCTGTTGTAGAACACCATTTCATTGTATAAAAATTCACTTTATATCGTATAAACAGTGTTGCCTCTGTCACAATAACTTGCGTCAAAAACGCATTGATCCGTCTATCAGAACGTTTAATTTTGTTCAATCTGAAGTTCTTTCGAAGGTAATCAACTAATTCCATCACAAATGAATGAAAATGAAATTATAAGTAACCAGTTCAATGGATACATAACTGGGTCGGAACAGGTAAACCGTTTCGCGGTATACAGAGCGTAAACTGTTCTAATCATTTTTTAAATTTCAAAATCAGCAAAAATTGCGAAGCCAATTAATCAATCCATAACTAATAAAAATAAAAGAAAATAAACTTCTGAAATTCTCATGAAATGGTTATTAGATTGGGAAAAAAAAACGTTACTTCATAACAAGCATCGCTGTAGTAGTCCGGTACTATTACTTAAACATTTCCGATAAGAATCATTAACCTTTAAATTAATATTATAGACCTACAGTGTATGACGCGTTAATATCAAGTTATATATCTTAAGTAAATGAACAAAACAGTTAAAAGAATCAATATTAAATAAGTGAAATAATTAACGGCATGTTACGAGGATATGCCAAGTCACAGAAAGAAATTCAAGCTCTATTTTCTTGTTCTATCATGGTTCAACCATATTCTATACTTTCAATAAAGGATATAATTGCTTCAACATATTATGAAGAGATGTATGAACAAAAGTGTTCAAAAGTGTTATCTGTACTTTATACTTTCTTGCAAAGTATATACTTTGAAAAAATAACACACTTTGAATATGTTTTTCAAAGTACGTAAACATTAGAACGAATTCAACACATTTTCTTTTTAGTAATCCAAGAGAGAAAGAGAGAGAGAGAGAGAGAGAGAGAGAGAGAAATTTATGGTATGGAAAATCATAATTATTGCTCCCTTTTGTCCTAGAAAATTGCAATACTTAAAGTTATATATCGACCCCTAAATCCACAAAACTGTAACAGACTGGTGAAATGAAAAAGAATCGAAAATATGCTACTACGGAGTATTTAATTATCATTGTTTCCTACATTATGTCTAGAAGACCCATTTCCCTTTTATAACATAAGTCTATAAGAACTTTTCGGAACAAGAAAACCCCTAAATGAAATATATGGAGATAATGAACAGTATTCAAGCTCAAAAGTCCATAAAACAATACAAAATAGGAGCAGAGCAAACACAGACCTCCAAAACATCAGAGGTGGGATCAGATGCCACGGAAGAGTGAGCAATGCCCACAGGATACACCCGGTCATAATGACTTAACAATTAGTATGAAAAACATCAACCAGCATGCAACTCAATGATAAATTGTATTTGCTTACAAAGTCGTTGTATCGACCATAGAACTTATGGCATTCTGATGACATTTAACGAGATAGCTGATTTTCTCTATCATTAACTTTTTTGTCAGCAATTTACCGCGTTTTAGAAATTGTACATACGTAGAGCATGCCCTAGCGTATCAAATCAACTGAGAGATATAAATTGCGTATGCAGGTGATGAAGGTACGTATATTGCTGCAAAAGAAAGGCAAGTTGACGATTGAAAAGTTATCACGTTTATCATAAAG